GCCGTGGGCGAAGGAGTCGTCCCCAGTCAGTGATGTATTTAACCAAGTAAGGTTATATCTAAATCTAATATACTTCTGGAAGCGAAGACTAGCTCGAGGGTCTGGGTAGCGTAACTGGTAAGCGCGCCGCACGGCAAGCGGAGGCTGCGGGTTCGAGTCCCGCCCCGGGCCAGTTCTTTTATTCCAGAAGATTCTAAATTTATTTATTGATTTATTTATTTAATTTTAATTATTAATTTAATTAAGAGATGGCGCCTAACGTCTACCTCTAGTGTCAAATTACTTTATTCCAATCATTTAATTAGCCATATTATAGCCCGATATTTAGGCGATCGTTTGGTGATGATATTTACTACTCGGGCTATGAGTTGTTGATATTTAAAATTATTATAAAAACTATTGACAACTATATAAATAATTTTAATATAATCAGGAAATAAGTTAGCCATTTGGATTAATAAATAAAAATTGAAACCAATTTAAGAAAAATATTGTTCTACTTATATAATCAATTTGAGTTACCAAATATTATGCAATGAAATTTAATTTATAAAATGAATTTTTATCTAAAATTGGTGATTAGATCTAAATTAAACCAGATAAATTTGTTCTTCTTAATTGTATTCAAAGAATTTTTTTAATATTCTTAATATAACCCAAGTTTGGTAAAAGTTGAGTAGGAATACCAAGAAGGTTTCTTAAAATAAAATATCCTATAAAGCAAAATTATTTGGATAAAGAATTTAATTATTATTAGTATGGTCATATTCAAATTGATAGATATTGGAAATTATTCAAATTATCAAATATTTTGGTTTAGTGGTTGTATAAAGTAATAGTCAATTACAACAAAACTGATTTTTTTGAATTTATTATAAGAGAAAACAAATGTTTACTTTTTGTTAATTATTAAACTTTTTTAAATATTGCATAAACATGAACTGTACAGAAAGAATGAGAATGTTGTTTTACTTTTATATTAATTATTAACAGTATGTTTGAATGCTTTTATTGTCTAAGATAACTCACAGATTATATTCAGTTGGAATATTCAAATTTTTGGATTTGCCAGAACATATTGGATTTAGAATGAATTTATAGTAGTAATAATAATCATTGAGTAACATCCCAAGATGAACATTGTGGCAAAACCAATGAAATATGGCTTTTAAACATTTGAGATGTAAAGTTGGATAAACAATTATATTTTATTACTTTTATCATGATGTTTATCATTATCTTGGAATGTTTATATTAATGACCTTTAATATTAGTTTTAATATTCCAAAATATGTTAAAATTATTAAAAATTTAAAATTATGGTTAAATGTTATAGCATAAATGGAATTGTTGTCTTTTTAACTTGAAATTTCAAATATTGAAAATACTAAAAGTTTTATTTTTATTGGATAAAATTGAATGTAATGTTTTGAAATTTTATCTGAATAAATATTGACAATAGTACAATATATATCAAAGTGAATATTTATAGTTCTTCTATTTTCATATTGAATGAAATTATAATGTAAAGGAGATGCTGTTACTTATTAAGAAAAGAGAACTATTTTTATATTTCCTAGCAATTGAAGATGAGTACAAATTCAGAGATAAACTCAAAGCAAATACACTGGTATAAGTGACAATTTTAGGGAACAATAATTATCCATCTTAAAAACCTTAAATCACCAGTAAAGTACTTCAATATACTTAGTTTTTAGGCAAACGTTTTTGATCTACTATTAAGATCATCTTCAGTTAAAGAGATTTGAAGATGATACCAGTAGTAGATTGAAAACATTTGTCTAAAAATTAAGTATATTGAAGTTCTTTACTGGTAATTTAAGGTTTTTAAGGTGTGTAATTGTCGTTTGTACTGTACATATACAGTTTGGTATAGAAGTTGAATGTAATTTTAGGAAAAAGCATTGTTCCAATATTTTGCTTTTGCATAATAGACATAACCTGTTTAAAATTACTTTGCAGTGTTATTAATAAACAAAACAATCACCTTAATAAATTTCTAAAAATTTAAAACATTTTAAAATAAATTTATAAATACTAATTTATAAAAATTTTGCATTTTAGATTCTTGGTGATCAATTATCTCAATCAAATAGTCAAATTGAAAGTCTGATTGAAGCAGGTGAAAAATTATATCCTCACACTTCACCTGATGGTAGAGAAGTTATAAGACAGAAATTGAGGTATATGATACCTAAATTTATAAATATATATAGATTTAAATTAAAATTTAAATAAATATATATATATGTGTGTGTATTTTGTATTTTTCCAGAAACATACGGAGCCGTTGGGAAGCATTAATGGAAGGAGCAGCCACTGCTTTACGTCGTTTGGAATCATGCTTACAACAATTAAGTGCTTTTGCTTTGGCACAAGAACAATTGATGAAATGGCTACATGATGTTGAACAGTCAATGGATCATCATACTGAGCATAGAGGATCACTACAAGAAAAACGAGCTCAGTTGCAAAGTCATAAAGTATGATATGGAAGAATTATTTGAATAATCTAAAAATTATTTGAATGCTTTATATTAAATTAATATTATTATAAAACAGGTAGTTCATCAAGATATTATTTCTCATAAACCATTGGTTGAAAATGTTTGTGAAAAGGCTGAACAATTAGCTACTACTACAGCTGACCATTCATTACCTGCATATATAAAAGGAATGAAGCAGATGTATGAGAAAATGTGTGCAAAATCAAAGGTAAATATGAAATTTTTAAATAATTTTCTTATTATATTAAGTATAATAAATACATTAATAAACTAAAAATTATAAAACATAACATTTCATAAGGATTTTTCATAACATTGTGAGAGCAATTTTTACTAAATCATGTTAAATGATCGAACATTATGAGATGCTTATACAGGGTGATTCTCTAGCTAGGAAACCCAAACATTACTCAATAACTTGAAATTTAAGACACAGAGTTTTTATTTCATATCTAAGTTTGCATGTTTTCTTTTGTGTTTTTAGTAAGATGAATGATGATATCATGAAGTTGAAGAGTGACATTGTATANGTTAGGCTTAACATCGACGAAAATTCAACGCGAAGCGACACGCAACGGAGAGAAATTTCAACATGGGATAAATTAATATATTTTTTCGTACATGATTCGTACATTTCAAAATTAAGTTATCCGAACCACCCCAGTCCCCAATTGATTCGGATAAACGACACTCTACTGTACTTTGCTTTATACAATTATTGAAATTTATTGTATAAATAATTGTATTAACTAGATAATTGCTCTCATAAGACAGAAAAATTATTTTGAGTATGAAATGTTTGTTTTTAATTATTATTTTTATATTATAGAACAAATAATAGGAATGATTTTAAAAATCTTTTTATCTTATATCAAAGCACTTGGATTTATTTAAAATTTAAACTATACTTTAGATCAATAGTTATAAATTTAAAATAGTATCTAAAGATGACTGCCAAATGTACTTTTGCATTTTGACTTTCCAATATATAAATAGAATATAATTTAATTAAACTACTCTATCAATAAAAGAAAATATATTTTGGTCTTACATCTTGTATTAAATTATATCAATAATTATCTTGAGTTTGAAATATATATGTGTGTGTATTTTGTATTTTTCCAGAAACATACGGGCCTCTGCAAAATGTCATGATGCAAATTGTCACTAACTCGAAAGTAGCCACCAAATAGCCAATATTTTTTTTTAAATTAAAATTTAAATAAATATATATATATGTGTGTGTATTTTGTATTTTTCCAGAAACATACGGAGCCGTTGGGAAGCATTAATGGAAGGAGCAGCCACTGCTTTACGTCGTTTGGAATCATGCTTACAACAATTAAGTGCTTTTGCTTTGGCACAAGAACAATTGATGAAATGGCTACATGATGTTGAACAGTCAATGGATCATCATACTGAGCATAGAGGATCACTACAAGAAAAACGAGCTCAGTTGCAAAGTCATAAAGTATGATATGGAAGAATTATTTGAATAATCTAAAAATTATTTGAATGCTTTATATTAAATTAATATTATTATAAAACAGGTAGTTCATCAAGATATTATTTCTCATAAACCATTGGTTGAAAATGTTTGTGAAAAGGCTGAACAATTAGCTACTACTACAGCTGACCATTCATTACCTGCATATATAAAAGGAATGAAGCAGATGTATGAGAAAATGTGTGCAAAATCAAAGGTAAATATGAAATTTTTAAATAATTTTCTTATTATATTAAGTATAATAAATACATTAATAAACTAAAAATTATAAAACATAACATTTCATAAGGATTTTTCATAACATTGTGAGAGCAATTTTTACTAAATCATGTTAAATGATCGAACATTATGAGATGCTTATACAGGGTGATTCTCTAGCTAGGAAACCCAAACATTACTCAATAACTTGAAATTTAAGACACAGAGTTTTTATTTCATATCTAAGTTTGCATGTTTTCTTTTGTGTTTTTAGTAAGATGAATGATGATATCATGAAGTTGAAGAGTGACATTGTATAGAATTAGGCCTCTGATTAAACTACAGAATTGAAAATTTTAATCATATTTTGCACCTAAAGTAATGATATTATTCTTAAATGCAAATTGATTAATCAAATTTGTGATTTTATCTATATATATCCCAGGCTTTTCAGGGACTTTCTAGAAACAGCATCATTCTTAAAACAAGATGCTATTGAGACAGTCAGTTGCACCAAAAACATTGTTGAGAAGTAAGCAATGAATTCTTGATGACAAACTCATTTAACTCATTTTCTCATTAATAATATTAATGTTTTGTTATTTTGTACATATGCATATCTAAAAGGTAATAAAATATAATGCATTCAAGCTATATTGTTTTTTTTTGGGGGGGATATTTATGATTTCATTAAAATAATGATAATTTCCATAATTCAAAATTGTATTAACTCCAAAATTTTTCTTTTTCCCTTTAACTTGCGGCGACAAATCACGGACTGGTGAGATGGAGCCACTCCTCTACAAGTTTCCCGTGAATCCCAGATAGGAAAACGGGAACTAAGTTTTTTTCCCAGAGAGAATTCTGGGTATTGTTGCTTCTTCTTCTTGTCGGGTGATTGCTGCCATGAGCACGTGTAGCTCTCTTTCAAGTGTACTCGAGGATTGTTGTAAATAAATGTTGTTTTAGTTTAAAACGTGGTCGTGGACTTAACTAATTCACGTTTACAGCCTTCTGATAAAGACAGTCTTTGTGGAGATGTAAATGGATGGAGAAAGATGGCCAGGTTTCGTCTAACCGATGGCGGCCATCCATTACCTCCAAACTTTTAGTTATCAGTTATCATGAATCTGCTGTGTAATTTTTTCCTCATGTTGATACATTGATATGGTTAAACATTTTTGATGACAACTTTACAATTTATATTATATATGAATTTCTAATTAAAATTTTACTAACTTTTTAATAATTGAAAATTAACCAAATGAAACAAATTTTCATTAGACTTATGGATACAGTAGAGCGTCGTTTATCTGAAAGCTGGTTATCCGAAATGTCTATTATCCGAAAGCATTCCAGTCGGCAAATTTAAATTTTCGCTAGTGCTGTGGCGCTGCAATCTTTGTCTATTTCTCAGGCTACTCAAATATTTTATGTTTTTGATACTAAATTAACATCTGAAGTATAATTTTTTATTGTTTTTATATTTTTCAATAAATTTATTTTGTTTGTACAAAAGAAAAAAATAATTTTTAACGATACAATAGTCTGTCTTCGTTAGGCTTAACATCGACGAAAATTCAACGCGAAGCGACACGCAACGGAGAGAAATTTCAACATGGGATAAATTAATATATTTTTTCGTACATGATTCGTACATTTCAAAATTAAGTTATCCGAACCACCCCAGTCCCCAATTGATTCGGATAAACGACACTCTACTGTACTTTGCTTTATACAATTATTGAAATTTATTGTATAAATAATTGTATTAACTAGATAATTGCTCTCATAAGACAGAAAAATTATTTTGAGTATGAAATGTTTGTTTTTAATTATTATTTTTATATTATAGAACAAATAATAGGAATGATTTTAAAAATCTTTTTATCTTATATCAAAGCACTTGGATTTATTTAAAATTTAAACTATACTTTAGATCAATAGTTATAAATTTAAAATAGTATCTAAAGATGACTGCCAAATGTACTTTTGCATTTTGACTTTCCAATATATAAATAGAATATAATTTAATTAAACTACTCTATCAATAAAAGAAAATATATTTTGGTCTTACATCTTGTATTAAATTATATCAATAATTATCTTGAGTTTGAAACAGAAATAATAGAAATTTATCTGAATTATAATATTATTTCAGTTTACAGTAATAATAATATGTTTCTTTAAATGATTAAATCTAAAATATTAATATTTTTTAAGGATCTGCTTGACAAATTAGAAGCCTTTATACATGAACATCAACATTATTTAGACCAATGTAAAGAATTTCAAGAATGGTTAAGTAATTGTCAACAAAAACTTCAAGAATGCAGAGATACCAGTGGAGAAAAAAAGATTGTACAAAACAGGCTCGATTTATTAAGAGTAAGTTATTTTTCCAAATAATTGGATTTTGAAAGTGAGATAAATTTCAGAAAATTTTCTACATTTAAATCTCTACACTCGGATACTAATTTCATTAATTGAATAATTTGAAACTTTAGACGAAGATAAACAGAAGCTGAAATCATCGGATTTCTATAAAAATGTTTAAGAATTTTTTAAAAAGCCCTTCTTTTTTTCTCTTCTTTCTCCATTTAAAAGTATCTCGCGCGTACTTTATTCCACCCGAACCAACTCTATTCAGATAGAAATAACCTAATGAAAAGCAGTAATTTAGACATCGCCTATGAAAAAATTCGCGTTTTCTCTAATCTTTTTAATATATTTTAATAGAAACATACATTATTTTGTCGCAGATAAATTTTTCGCGTTATTGTGGTGGAGCATGNTAATACAATAAAACAGTTAAATAATTTATTATTACTATTTGTAGTATTCAATGCACAAGTTAAATTTTAATATGCTTGTTATATACTGAAAGATATAAATATTTTCCAGAAAATTTATGTAAAAATAAAGTTTTTTAAAATTACAATTATGAAACTATAATTGTGTGAAAATATAAATTATATTTCTAATTATTATTATTATAACATAAGCTGAGTTGATACTAACAGAAAAGATAGCATATGAATAAAGTAAAAATATTTAATTCAAATCTAATAATTTTTATATTCAAATGTGTGTTGAAATATAAAATATGTATATCACTAGACATTAAGAAATCAGGAAGTTGAAGGAGGAAAGAAACTTGCTGATTTAGAAAGTTATTGTAAACAAGTATCAACAAACACGAGTGATCATGGAGCTCAACTTTTGAAACGTGAAGTGCAGGATCTGAAAGATTCTTGGAGTCGATATTTAGCATCTTCCTCAGAAAGCGAACATAATTTAGAAAATGTTTTACAACAATGGGATAGTTTTGAGAAAAACTTTAAAAAATTAATGACGTGGTTTACAGATATAGAAGCTGCATTAAAACATCCACAGTTACAATCAACTTGTGAAGAGAAAGAAAGTCAATTAAAAATTGTGAAGGTAAACTAAATGTAATTTTTAATTAATTATTATTAGAATTACTTTTTAAATGATTCTACTTTTATATAGGAATTACATGAACAAATAGTTGGCTATCAAAAGTCAATTGACAACTTTACAGATGAAGCACATGCATTAATGCATGTTTCAGGAGTAGAAACAATTCGTGGTCAAATATCTCAAGTAAATAGCCGTTATCAAACGACACTCGCCATAATAAAGGTATTGCAATTATCATTATTTTATATGTATTGACTATTTATTTGAAGAAGAATGCACATTAAGTTAAAAATTTTAGCAAAGTCAAAAATTTCATTAATTAAAATATAATATGACAAAATTTAACTTGGAATATTTTATAAAATAAATGACACTGTATTAATTATGTTACTGATAAAAACATTACTTATGAAACACGATTCTGATAACATTTTAATTTAGCAAATAAAACAAAATACTTTTCAAATGTTACAATAAAGAAGATACAATTTTAAATTCAAATGATTATTTTTAAGTGAATTGCATTAATTGAAATAATAAGTGTGTTTTTTTTTCATTTTTCTTCATTTTTCAGTTCTCTTAAATTAATAAAAGTACATATATTTTACATGAATTAGAAGATGAAATGATGTTAAAATATATACAGTATAATTATTATCTAGAGATCATGTCAGTATGATATATTGACATTTTGGAATGTTCATGATGTCAGAATCAGTTTGTTTTTTTAAACTGATGTTACAATTTTTTTTTTTCAATAATTACTATTGAAAAAGAAGAGATTGGAGCATCAGTTTGTAAAATAAACCAAGACCAATATAGTGATACCATTCTGACTACACTAGTATCAGTTACATCTTTAGTATTGACGTCACTTTTATTATAAATGTACAGAAAATGATATTTTTATTTTCATAACACACTTCATATTAGATTTAAAAACTAAATAATTTTATTATGTTATTCATAAATATAATTTGTTATATGAAATTCATTCTATATTCAGTGATATTTCAATATTTGACTTACGTTTGCTACAGAATCTAGTTTCGAGATGGGAAAGTATTGTATTGGAACATAGACAGTTTTGCCAGTTAATGGCTGATTGTAGTAGTTGGCTTAGTTTAACTGAAAATTCAGTCACTGAAATGAAAGAAGGAGGAAAAGTTGAAGATAATTTACAAAAAATTCAAGTAATTGAATTTATTTTTTGTATTTTTTAAACAACATAAACTATTTTTTCTGTTTCATAATCATATTAATAAATGAATTATTATTATTTTTAAGTTATTAATAACAGATAAATCCCACGGTGAACAATTACTTCATAAAACAATTCAAGCAGGTGAAAGATTGTTTCAGGATACAACTGCACAAGGAAGAGATTCGATTCGTCAAGAGCTACGCTGTTTAAGAGATCGATGGGATCAACTCAGCCTGCAACTTGATGAAATTCAAAAACTGCTTGAATCTTATAATAGTGTGTGGCATTCGTATCATGAGACTTTAAAACAAGTAAGTTTATTATTATTATTTTTAATTTTTATGTTACCAATAAGACATTGTGTTGTATATTTTATTTTTTTGTTATTCAGCTTTTAAATTTATTTTCCATTTATTTCATCCATAGCTAATTCTAAAGACATATTATTGCATTTTCTAATCTAAATGTATATATTACATTAAATTTAACACAATAAAACTGTAACTATTTTATTTTGTTTAAATATATTAATATGTAACGATATAGAAATTGAAACTTTTATATTTTAGCATAAATAATAATAATAATAATAATAATAATAATAATAGGTAATAAGTAATACACGTGGTGTATGTGAATTCACAAGAGAACATAAATGTATTTCCATTGTAATCTTTCCGTGTTAACTTTTTCCATAAACACGGTGAAAAAATGAAATAAATACAGTAGAGTGTTGATTATTTGAAATAATTAGGATGGGACAATTTTGGATAATTGATCACACCTGATGGTGAAAGAAAAAAAATCAGATAAATATCTTAAATAAATTAAATCTTAAAAAGTTAAAATATTAATTTTAATGTTATTACCAGTGCTGTCATTTATAGGGTAATTATCCTTTTCTTGGGTAATTTCAACCTCTCAGGGTAATGTTTAGGGTAATCTTATATTTAGGATAAATCTAAGGTAAAACTGCCCTGTGATCTGATGCTATTACACATTGTGCCACAAGTTTGACTGGAAAAAGTTTTAGCCTAAAAATGTTCTGTTTTCCCCTATAACTGGAGGGTTTTAGAATAGGACAACAGAAGCTAAAGAAATAAAGCAGATTGGTTCTATGTACACAGGTGTATACTGTATATTACACCTGAGTAGGATTTTGCTTTTCTCCACCTTCATGCCATTGGGCCATTGGTACACTACAGTACAGGTACAACTTTTGAATGATGTAAAAAGTTTTTATGTCATTCATCAGCTCATCTTACTTTGTGGCAGACACCATGTGTGACATAAACTTTGCCTGCAAGTGAACCATTTCGACTGCACCAGACAGCCAACCACTCCATGCCATTTGATTTCTTCTTATCTGAGCATGAGCTCAATGATGGTCAATCTTGGAGAGTTTTCTCTATTTAGGGTAATCTAGGGTAAAATGAAAGTGCCGTCAGGGTAGTTCCACCAGAAGCAGGAGGCAGCACTGGTTATTACAATAGTAAATAAAAAAGTTAATAGAAATTTCATACACATGAATGATAAGAAATAACAGTAAAAAAACTATTTATTAAAAGCAAGTGCTATTCCGCTAGTCTTTTATGCAATCTACAACATACAGTAATAACCCGAACTTACGCGATAGGTGGGACCGAGCGGTAACCGCGTAAGTCGGGGTATAATTTCGCATATAAATACATACAAATAATTTTTAATTGAGGCCGGAGACTAAAGAAAACAACAATTTAGAAAAAAAATGTTTAATAAAATCTTAGATAATACATATGTATAACAAATTAGGCCTATATTATTTTACAATTTTTCACATTTACTTGATTATTACACCATAATTTTAACATTGTTTCCATCTCAGCGATAATACTGTGACGTTTACGAATGATGCTTGAATTTAAGGATTGAGCATTTTTCACAGCTTCAAGAATTTTTTCTTTGCCTTTTGTAATTGACAATTCCAGTAGATCAAACTTCTTTGCCAATTCACAAATTTTCATTTTTGTATCAAAGTCTTTAATAATGGGTACGTTCGTAAAGTCAAATGAGTTAAACGCATTAATAATGAATCATTTGAAAAGTCTAACGAAGTAGGAATAACGATGACTTCATTCTCGCTTAACTCGTTCGACTTTACAAACATACCCAATGTTAAGTTTACATTCTAAAGATAAAGTTTTTCTTTTCTTGTTTGATGCAGAAGAATTAGTTCTACTTTGTTTGGATGACATAGTAGAGTCTCTCAAGTCTCCGTAGATATAACAAACACAGAAATAAATAACACAAAATAAATTGTAGCTATGTGTGGATTCTGCGCGACACATTTGAACATGTAAGCTGAACAATAGTATGGGGGGAGTGAGTAATCAAGGGTTGCGTGGCGCTCAAACAAAAGACGAATCAACGAGATTTGAAAATCGCGTAAGTCGGGGTATTACTGTACTGTTGAAACGTTGAATTTAAAGTAAAAATTAGTAAAGTTAATATTAAATAAAGTACAGTATTTACTAGTGATGTGCCGGATCGTTAAAAATGTATATCCGCGGATACGGATACGGATACGGATCATTCGTGTCTAGATCCGCGGATACGGATATGGATACGGATCTCAACTTTCGTACTCAGTCAGCGCCGGTGCGTGTGACCTTGGACCGATAGTTGACGCTTTGCGTTAATAACGCGACGTGTTTTGACTTGCACTGCGCGTGTTTTTGTTTATGGTGTAAAAATGTGCTAAATTAGAATTCACCACAAAGGCAGACAGGATAAAGTAACAAAAGTTAATATAATTTTCCAATTGAGCTTTTTTGCGTCTTTATACAGATTCTATTTCGGGGGATTCCAACTTCACGGTACAAACAGTAGCATGCGAAATTACAGCGATAATAATAGTTCGCTGTATCCAAATCACGTGTACAATACAGATCCCGATCGCGACAATATAACCCGGAACCTTAAAACTAACCTTAAACACTAACTTAACACTAATAACAGAAAAAGGGATAGAATTAAGAAGACAGAAAAAATGATAGATAAGATAGAAATAGAGATATCTGGGGTTTTGTCCCTTTTTTCGGCTTGTTTCTTTATGCATACTGTTGGGTGGGATAACACACGCCCTTCTCTTATAACTGGCCAGTTCTCTTCTTCAATAATTAGGATTTTTTCTTCCACAGTCGTCAATACGACCTTAAAACACGATCTTTTTTCTGAACTATCCGGTCATTGAAAATACGACTCCCAGTATTCTCACCTCGTCCGTACACTCTGCTGTCCAGTTTACGAATGATCTGCTACGTCACTTCTTTTTTTTCTCCGGCTTCTGTTTACACCTTTGCTCCTCAAAGTTCTAGGAACTGCTTATCCCAGCCAAGGGACAGAGAATAGATAAGAAAGTTTTAGAAGAAAATAGAACAATAGAACAAAGGGTAGAAAGAAGAAACGAAACTAAACTAAAATTAATATTTACAAAAATATAGCGTACCGCCACAATAGTTTAGTGCAGTGTTTCCCAACCTTTTTTTGCTATGCCCCACCTAAGCCTTTCTAAAATTCTAGTCTCCCTAACATATACAGCGGCTATACTGTTAACTTAAACTCTGGACAAGTACAAGTCCATTTTCGAATTGCCCTCCTTAGCAATCCAATTGCTCCCTGTGGGGCGTGGGCCCCACGTTGGGAAACACTGGTTTGTGGCTAGTGTGACACGGGATAGCGTAGATTACGTTTGTGTTTTTGGAGAGTGTTGAGTTAAATTAAAATAAAAACAATGCCGACAAAAAAATTTAGTAGTGTAATATGGAAATATTTTACGATAGTAAATGACGAATGTGCTATTGCTACCTATCTTTAAAATTTCATATAAGTAATGAAATTCATTAAGATAAAAGATCCGTTAAAGATCCGCTAAAAAGTAACGGATACGGATACGGATACGGATTTTTTTTTTCCCTCGGATATCCGCGGATACGGATACGGATACGGATATCCGGCACATCACTAGTATTTACATAAAAAATTATTTATTGCAGTTTTTTTTCTGAATAAAGTCACTTGTTTTGCTTTGTTTTACATAATTTTTTTTTAACTTTCTTCTAAATTCTGTCTTTTTTGATTGTCATGACAGTTGAAAAATTTTCTACAAATTGCATTTCTAACTATGCCCATGCTGTTTTTTTGTTATTTGCTCATTCTGTTAAGCTTTTCTGTTTATACTATAATAATGATTTCTAACACTGGTGTTGATAATGATAGTTAAATAGTTTGCCGACAATTGTTATTATGTAAAAGCTTTGTAAATTCTTTGAAGTTGATTTCAGTTAATTGATTTTCAGATAATCAACACTACTGTATTGTTCTTAAAAAATAAGATTGCTATAAATGAGAATAAAATGAATTTAAACAATTAAAAATTATAAAATAATTTAATTATTTACTTACATAAAAATTTTTGTGACCAAATTTCCAAGATTATTACGTAAGATGTATCTAATTTTATTATGTGAATATAATTCATTGATTAAGTGTATTATTTTTGATATAAATGAATTTTCTTTCTTGGAGATGGACATTTTAGTCTTGAACTCATCAGTCCAGATAACATTTATCTAAAATGTTAATGGAATCTTGATAATTTAAAATTTATATATTGTTTTCTAATTTATATTTTGTAAGGCATTAATTTCCTTCTCATAATTTATATATTAATTATACATTTTTTTTTTTTTTTTCATTTGGTGGTCATCATTTCCCTTTACAGGGATCAGTCACCCTTGTCCCGCTTTACGCATACCAAGGGAACTCTATCTTTTATTCAAATTTTTTACTTTGTTAACATTAATTAGATTTTATACAAATAACAAAGATAGATTACATTATTGACATGGGCTGCTTCGCCCCACATGCTTGTAGCTACTTGCTACAAAGGAAGGGAGCAGCTCGCCCCCTTCCTCCCGACAATATCATTTTTGTGTATGACATTACTGAATTACATAATTCTTTTTTACGAATCATCATGTACATATCGATATCAGTAACATTCGTGTCATTCCTTGCCAGAAGATTTAATTGCAATCTCTCACACTCAAACTTCACACAGCTATACCAGAGATGCTGAAGATCTTGTATTCCTCCGCCACAGTCACAATTACTATCTTGAGCTTTTCCTATTCTATGTAAATATTCATTTGTGTTACAATGTCCAGAAAGAAGTTGCGAACTGATGTTATTCATCGGAAGCCATTTAAGTTCTCGTACTCTTTCCTCTACGTTTGGTAGGATCCAAAAGGTATGCCTACCCTTTTCACTATAACTCCAGCGTTCCTGCCAGTTTTCATACGACTGCTGTCTTAACATACGTTTAATATAAGACATTGGTACTTTGCCATAGGAAATAAGTTCTCTGTGTGTAGCTTCTTTAGCCAGGGCATCTGCCCTTTCGTTACCCTTTATGCCTACGTGGGCCTTGACCCAACGTACTTTAACTTTAATATCATGCCTGCTTATTAACTGTTTAATGTCTATTGCCATCTGGCTATTATCGTGATATTGCCTCAGTGTCTGTATCGCTGCTCTGCTGTCTGTATTGATTATCCTTTGACTAGTACTATTGTTGGAAATGCACCATTTGATACCCATTAAGATCGCATATAGTTCGGCTTGATAAACTGAACATCTATCGTCCAGTCGATATTGACCGTAGTCTATTTCTCTACCATCTTTTACTACTAAGTAGGACGCACCCACTTTATTATCTAATTTTGAACCATCTGTAAATATCTCTTCCTCCGCTACCTCATCCTCTGTTGCCATTTCAATACTTATTCTTTCGTATGTTTTCGGCATTATGTTTGCTTGAGGCTTTAAGTCAGTATCTTGCCTTGTATACCAGGTTCCTTGAATGTTTATTGGAAGTCCTGTCCTGCATTCATACTGCATTCCTTTTTCTTTTAGAATACAATCAATTGGGGGGACTCCTGCCATAACCTGGAGCGCCTCTGTTGAAGTAGTTCGATACGCTTTTAACAGCCTTATCAATGCTGACCTTTGAGCACTTAATAACTTTTTCTTAATCCATCCTTTCTCTGCCGCTTGATACCAAACTCCCGCGGCATAAGTGATTCTTGGGATAAATACGCTCTTATATATAGTCTCGATTGCACCTGAGTTCAATCCCCATGTTGATCTCGATACTCTGGCCAGTGCATTAAACAATGTTATACACTTATTTTTGACTGCCGTAGCGTGTGGAAGCCACAACAGCCTATGATCCAATACAACTCCCAGATAATTTAGCTGTTTAGTGACTTTGATGTTCTGTCCTTCCATTTTAATAGTTGGTGTGCATTTATAAAGGTTTGGTGTTGTGCCTTTCGTGAAGATAATCGCATTAGATTTCTTAGGGTTGAAACTGAGCTTTAGCTGTTTACCCTTTTCCGTGACACTTTGAAGAATTCTACTACTCATTTCTTCTATTTGCCGTCTAGAGTCAGAGCCGAAGATGATAAACGTGTCGTCGGCATATGCTACCTCTGTGATTCCTTTTCCTTTTTCTACCTTTAGGAAGTTATCAAACGCTAGGTTCCAGAACAAGGGCCCCGAATTGGAGCCCTGTGGGCAACCTCTAGTCAGATCTTTTGATATAGTTTTATTACCAGCTCTATATATTATTTTTCTATTCTTTAGATAATCCTGAACCACTTGATATATATTTGATGGGCAGTCAGCCCTTTGTAATGTATCTAGTAGAATGGGCCACCATGTGTGGTCGAAGGCGCCCTTTATATCTAGGCTGATACCACAGCAGTATTTATTTACTTGTAGAGTGTTGTTGATTGTTTCAACTACTTTCCTTATTATATCCTCCGTTGATTTATCTGGGAGGAATCCATATTGCTTAGGGCTTAAAAAGTTCTTTTGTTGTATATGTCCCATTATTCTTTGGCTTATGAGGTAATCGTATACTTTCCCTAGCATTGGGAGCAGGCTTAAAGGCCTGTAACTCTTTGCCAAGCTCTTATCATGTTTATCACTCTTAGGAATGATGACCAGTTTTGCTACTTTCCAAATAGTCGGGAAAACTCCGAAACCGAGGCACATATTATACAGTTCAGTCATATAGTCAGGGTCCAGATCCCAAAGATGGTGCACTATTTCGGCCACTATCCCGTCATGGCCGGGTGCTTTACCTGGTCTAAGCCTGCTTATCGCATTGTTCACTTCTGCTGTAGTAAAAACGGGGTCTTGTGCACCTGAGAATGGACCTGCTACTGCCTTTCTGATTTCTCTTTGATCTTCTGAGTCTGTAGCCGGATCATCATCCGGGAAAAATACTCTCATTAGCGTTTCTATTGTATCTTGAATTCCTTCAGTGTATTCATTTTGTTCGTTGACTGCTGTGAGGTATTGTGGAACCTTCAATTTCCCAGCACAGGATTTATATAGATAGTTCCAGGGTTTATTAGAACTTTGTGTACAAAATTCCTTCCAAGAGCTGAGTTTGCTCTCCTTTATTTCTCCCTTGTATATCTTACTATGGTTATTATACTCTATTTTCTTTTTGTTTCTTTCCCGTTCATCTCTTTCTCTCTGGTATCTTCGTCTCAGTCTGTTATTCTCTCGTCTCAACTCACTCAGTGTGTTCGTCCACCATGGTACACTCTTCCGACTCTTTCTCTTTCTAGGTATAGTCTCGTTACATACCTTTATTAGATTACTTTGAAAGTTACTAATTTCAATCTCTGCTTGATCTCTTGTTTCAACTCTTGTGATGTTTTCTTTCTTCATAACTTTGCTCATTCTGATGTTGAATAGTGGCCAGTCTGCTCTATGTATTGCGTAATGATCGGAATCTTGCTCATTTTCCCAATTGTTATATACTGTATAATTAATAATTGTTATTAATTATACAGTATACTTTAAACAAAATGAAGTAATTTCTATTGTGGTCGTATCTAATAATGACCTTTTCAATGACCTTGACCTAATTTTTGATGGCCAACAATTAACTTCTAACTATTAAACCATTACCATATGGAAAACATATATATATATAACATATATACCATATGAAAGAGATTCAAATTCAATCGTAACTCAATAAAGCAAAATAATTTGGAGTAAAGAAGGATTTAATTATTATTGATGTGGTGCATTAGCAAAGCTTCTTTTATGCAGCTTACAGAATTGTGTTCATTATCAAAATTGAATCAATTGATTTTGATTAAACTTTGCCATTTTCCATTAATTGCAATTATGAATCCAAAAATGTAATAAAAAATTGATGGTACATGACTTCGTTTTCAAGATACAGTGGGTCAAAGTGATAATGTTCATGTTCCGTGACAGTATTCAATGTGTTAATGAAATGTAGGGGGGGTAAAACAGAATTTCATATGCCTAACAGATAATGGGTGTCGGGATAAAAATCGTCTGGCGCACGGTTTTCCCGCGCTTTTCCAATCGTTCAATGAACGACGGTTGTTGCCATAGGAACAGCAATCGGACCACTTTTGAAAACTCGACCACTGATTGGTTGAGAGACATCACACCATCGGCGGACGTCTTATAGAGCTGCTAAGTGCTGATTGGTGGAATCCAATTCTGCTTCAATTCTATAAAAGGGTTGAATTGTGGCGGGAAGTGGAGTTTGCCTGGAATATATCTATGGAACTCACGTTTGTCTAGTTCACCGTGGACTCACGTTTGGTCTTAGTTCGCCTAAGCTTGTCCCGAGGCTTGTCTCGTCTCGTTGGGCTGTAAAGGACTTTAGAGTTAGTTCGTTGCAAGGAGTCTTTTCGACGGACCTGTGTCGTGGATAAAAGTGTTGAACTTTGTTATGATTGATGTTTTATAAATGTTTGCTTTGTGAACCTATGTAACTGTACATACGTTTATTTTAATATATATATATATATATAAGTTTGAATTTAATCGGTGTTTGTGTGATGTTTTGAACTTTACTATGGGCATGATAAATGAACAAAACATAAGAACATAGCAATTGATGTTGAGTGCTTTGTTTTTGGATCACTCACTCTATAGCAGCAAGTGCAAAGATCATCTGCTTCTTTATGGCTCCACCACATTTTTTATTGTGATACAAGGTTGTTTGATGTCCTAGTTAATATTGTAAGCATGCCGATTAGTGGGGGTTTTATTCCTTTTTGTCGGGATGGTCTAAGACCCTTCCTTGCTCCCTGATTGCTCTCTTACCTGTCTCGAGGTAGAATTTGAGACCAAGTTAGGTCATGAGAAAGGTCTGCCCAGGATGGTTTATCCGACACCATCCTCTCGACTCTGATTGTGATTCATCGATGACTAAGACTCCTGCACTCATATTTCATCTCATAGCTTCTTTTTTCTTATTGCATTTTAAGTTTTAAACAATTCCCTCTTTTCATTTTCTTTTATTTTAAATATTGTTTTCCTTCCATTCTTTATGAGTGATGTTGTCAAAGTCCAGTGCTGCCATCTTGACACTTATATTACTTGTTTTCTCGATGGTTTGATTTAATAAATATACATTTCCTTTTTAATTATGGACTATTTCCAGGACCTCACAACATTGTCATATTCATAATATGACCATAATATTTATTATGATTTATCTATAGTAGGTTAGCATCATTAAATAGATTGTTAAATCTTTTTTATATGAATTACAACATTCATTAAATTTCTAGATATTAAAAAAATTCTATTGTATATTGAGAGTTTATTAACATTACATTAACACAGAATTTAATTTTGTAGAAAAATAATACTTTTAGATTGCTTAATTAATTGTATCAATATTTAATTAAAATAATATATTTTTAATGTAGTTATCGAACTGGATTGATGTAACAGAAAGAATTGTTAAAACCACTGAAAATAATTTGACATCTTTGCAAGACTTAGACACAAATTCACAGAAGTATAAGGTAATTAAATTATTATTTTTTTTTTATTGTAGACTGAGAAAAGAAAAGACTTTTATAAAATTTAATTTGCCTAAATGTAAGTTTAATGTTATATATTTATATATATACAGCATGTTATTATATATATATAATAATTGTATAATTATATATATGAAAACATACAATCTTAATGTACTAAAATCACCAAATGCTCTTATAGATTTATTATCAAGCTTTATTCACACTAATTAAAGTTCAGATGCAAAGTAATTTGGCTAGAGGTAGGCAGTAGGGTGCCATCTCTTCAATTTATTTATAATTATAAAATTTATCCAGAGATGGCAGCCTAACCACCAACCTCTAACCAAATCACTTTGTTTCAGGTCATTAATTAGTATAAAAATAACCCCCTAACAATAAATTCAGCATATTGTTTGGTAATTTTAATATAATATAAGATAGAATTTATGAAAGAATATTTATAAATTCAAGTATTTTTGTATTTTTTTGATGACTAAGACACTGACATTTGAAAACTGAAATTTAAAAACTAATTGATAAATTAATTTTATATTTCTGTCGAATATGTATTTATTAATGTTATTATTAAATTATTAAATATTTAATAATAATAACTAAAGTTTAGTAGAATCTAGCACAAGGTACTGTAATATCGACATATGATTGTATATGTTTAATAATGTTTCTTTAAATTAATTGAAACATATAACCACAAAATCACTATAAAATTATTTTTAATATTGTAATTACATACTACGTTTTATTAAAATTTTAAAGTATTCAAATATTATATCATATAAATTCACTAAAATGAAAAATTTATCACATTTAGTTTTGTATAAAAACAACGAATATCAAAACTACGTAAAAACTGTAAGTTAATATAAACATGTTACATATTTATATGTCAGTAATATCAAATATAATTGATTTATTTTGATTCACTATTAACAGTTAAACAATATGGAGGGAAAGTATTATACTTTAATTATTGAAAATTTGCTTTTGCTTTTATAAATTAAATTAAATTGATTTAAGTTTATTGTAATTATAAAATGAACTTAAAAATAAAATTTACCTTCTTAGATCAAGCAGTTTTTTAATATGACAGTTAACATATTATATAGAATATTAAGTTTTTGTAAAGATATTTCTTTTATAGTCTTATACTAATATAAAGATATTTAGCATAAATATTTTTAAAAAATTATATAATTTTTTTTTATTTAGGTTTTACAGCAAGAATCAGTATCACATAAATGGCAAATTGATTCACTACAAGAGAAAGTTTCTGTTATAGAAAAATTACAGGAAGGAAAAAATGTACCAACAGTTCTTTCAGACTTATGCCAGAGATTTAATACTTTATCTGATTCTATTAAGGTAATTAGATTTAATATGTGACTATTAAATTAAAATATGACTATAATATAATGGGGTCCAATGGACCCAGGTGAATTGAATAGAGTGCAAAAAAAGATATCTGTCACAAAGTTAATCAATTAAGTTTTAAATTTATTTAATTCTTTATTTAACAATAAAAATATTATTTCAATAATTAAATAATTTATCAGTTTTTATTTCTAAAAGTCTTCAAATATATATATTATAACTTATATATTATATTAATAGGGCATTATAAATATATTACTGAGATTATGATAATATATATTATATATCTCAGCAATATTTATTAATTACACTTGGTATTATCTTAAAATTGGATGATCTTTGATTATTCTCATACATATAAAGTTAATTTATAGCAATAAAAGTGTAATAATATATATTTAGTTTTATATTAAAATATAAATTACTTATCAGTAAAAACTAATATCAGTTGAATTTACTTATTTATTATTTTTGTTTTGTAGAAATATCTAGAACAATTAGAAAACTTATCAAGCCTGGTTCATGAGTATCGTGAACAAAAAGAAAATCATAATAATTGGCAGCAACAGATTCTGAGTAAATTAGCTCTTAGCAGTGATTATACGGGAAATATTATATTACTTCAAGCACAGCTTGATAAACTTAAGGTAATCATATAATTTTATACTTTTTTAAAAATCTTCAAAATGATAGTTAAAAAAAACAATTAGGTGTTTGTTCTTATTGGAATGTTTCTCCTGAAGAAGATTGTTTAAAATGATTGAAAACATTAGAATAAAGTTACATATACTGCATTAAAAGGTTTTTGAGTGAGTAAGGTAGTTAAATAAACAAACATATATATAAGTACTAAGTTACTGTAATTCAACATAAGATTTTATATACTTGTCTATGTACAATAGAGTCCCACTAGTCCGAACATTGCAAATCTGAATGTCCGCCTAATCCAAACAGGTTTCAGTCAGTGGAGAGGAAATTTTTTAGCTCATAAAATATACATTTTTTTTGGTATTTTTCAGTTGAATTTAAATGGTAGTAATGGTACAAAAAGATTTAGAATTCCAAATTCCACAACAAAAAAATTGCATTTTATTGTAGTATTGTATTTATACTGTACAAAATTAATAAAGCAGTGTTTGATATGGCCTCTTATAACAGATCTATATAGTACTTTCACACAAAAACAGAAACAAAAGTTATTGATGATGTTGGATCTATATAAATCAGACCTGTTTTACTGCTTGCTTCTGCATTATTTCAAGTATTTGGCTAATTTGAAAATCAGCTAATCGGAACAGAGCTTGGTGCCAATTAGTTCAGACTAGTGGGACTCTACTGTATGTGTATTTATTTCACATACAATATACAATTATTATATAAATTGCAATATTCACATTGTTTTTAAAATTCTCAAATATGTAATTAAATTAAAACTAATTATACTTACTTAAACTTTTATTATGGTATATGGATAAACATATTTCCATAAAGAATATTAATTAAACATTATGTAAAATTAAAGCATAGTTTTTAATTTGTTAACTATTCTTAAAATTATAAAATATTAAGCTTCTCTAATCAGTTTTATAAAGCATATTATAATATGAAGTTGAATATTTTATTATATTCTTCATTTAACTTCAGAAAGATAGATTTTGTTACTTTAAAGAAAATTGAAGATTATATTTTGAAAAGTAAACTATGACTTTTCTGAATAGTTTTCTTTGTTAATGTTGATTTCATTTTCACTAATGAGTTCAAATGTATAAAAACTAGATAAACAAATTGTCAAAGTTTATATATATATATATGTTAAGCGTTCTTAACTATGTTATATTTCAGTAAATTTTCAATTTAACAGATCCTGGTTTAATGGACTTTTGACAATAGTTGACACCCGTTTTCCCCAATTAGTCTATTAAATCAAGGATTTGCAATTATGTATAATTCAAATTTCTCAAATAAATTTTTAACATTTTTAAATTTCAGGAAAATGAAAAAGATTATAATAAAATAATAATTAATTTAATTTCTGAAGTTGATATTCACAATGAAAGATCATCAATAAAGTCAACTGAATCAGCAATAATGAAATGCTTAAGACATTGGAAACAAACAAAATTATTACATTCTATAGATACCACAATACAGTACGAGGGCTGTTCGAAAAGTTCGCGGCCTTGCCTATATGCGGCGCTGCGATCAATTTAATTTTTGGCGGGAATAATTCAGCCATCCTTGCTAAAGATACGATAGCAATTTCCGTTTGATTTGTCGTAAAGTTTTGCCACGACAGCTTAGCAGATAGTCAATGTGCACATGCTTTGTCAAAAATGGAGAAGACGGAGACTCGTGCGGTCATAAAATACCTGACGAAAAAAGGGTTGACCGCATCTCAAATCAAAGCTGACATGGATGAAGTTTTGGGAGAGTCTGCTCCTTCGTACACCACTGTGAAAAAATGGACAGCCCTTTTTAAATCTGGCAGAGAGAGTGTGAAACATGACCCTCGCAGCGGACGGCCGTCAACTGCTGTCACTGAAAAAAAATCGACAAAGTTTACGATTTGGTGTTAGCAGATCGCCGTTTGAAAACGCGTGAGATAGCTGAGACAACAGGCATCTCTGTCGACCGAGTGCACCACATCCTAACCGAAAATTTGGGTATGACGAAGGTCTCAGCAAGTTGGGTGCCGCATCTGCTGACCGCTGAGCAAAGACGTGTTCGCACTTTGATGTCAAAGAAGTGTTTGGACTTCTACAAGAAAAACCCACGGGATTTCTTGCGTCGGTTTGTGACTACTGACGAAACGTGGATCCATTACTACACTCCTGAAACAAAAGAACAGTCGAAGCAATGGAAACACCACAGTTCGCCACCACCAAAGAAGGCAAAGACAGTTCCATCAGCGGGTAAAGTGATGGCCTCGGTTTTTTGGGATGCTAAAGGCATCATCTTTATTGACTACCTAGAAAGAGGAAAGACCATTAATGCTGTCTATTACTGTGAACTTTTGGAAAAACTGAAGAAAGAAATCGAAGAAAAGAGGCCACACTTGAAGAAGAAAAAAGTTCTGTTCCACCACGATAATGCACCTGCACATTCCGCCAGAATCACTGAACAAAAGATAAACGAACTTCGCTTCCAATTAGTTCCACATCCACCGTACTCACCTGATTTGGCCCCCAGTGACTTCCACCTTTTTCCAAACCTAAAAAAATTCTTGGCTGGAAAGAGATTCCACTCAAATGACGAAGTCATCTCTGAAGTGAACGAGTATTTTGCACACCTTGACAAATCGACCTATTGTGATGGCATAAAAAAGCTAGAACATCGCTGGAATAAGTGCATTGCTAACAAAGGAGACTACATTGAAAAATAAAATAAGTTTTAACATTATTTTGTTTGTTGTTCTATATGAGGCCGCGAACTTTCCGAACAGCCCTCGTATTTATAAGAGAAATATAGAAATGAAAGTGCATAAATTGTGTATATCAAAATTTTCTGAAATGTAGAATTTTATTTACTTTTTAAATATTATCTTAATCAGTCAATATTTTAATTGTTCAAATTGAAATAAAATTTAATTTTTAAACTAACCTTGAAGAAGCTGCAAATTAAATAAAGTGAAAATATTTAAAGTTTTATCATTATTTTTACTTGTTTTAATCTCAATATCACTGATTTATGTATAAGACTACATACTTTTGGATCAACAGATTATCAAATATGATTAAAATTGAAGATGATACAAATAAATTATTTAACATAATTTTTGAAAAAGCTAATTGTGTTTTTTCTTTAGTAGATTTATCAATGTAAATTTAAAAAATGAAATTCTCACATTTTTATGAATACTGCTTTATAAAGCTATGTTTAGAAAATTAATTTTTTAAATAAGTGAAAAAATAATTTAATTTTTAATTATTAGGAAATTGAAGAGCAACTACCACAAGGTTCCATATTAAATGGAAAAATATGTGAGTATGTAAAAAAACTGGTTAACCTGGTCTCCCCTTATGATCGTGATTACTTGGAACAAGAACAAATGATGATAGAAAATAGCCATCAGCAAATCCTTGCTGATATAGAAGAAGCTAGACGACAATTGCAAAGTAGAATCCAGCAATGGACGTCATACGAACAAAAATTGGCTGCATTGACTTCTTATTTAGAAAATGCAGAAGCTTCTGTAACCGAATTTTCACTTAAAACATTATTAGATGAGAAAAAAGAACAATTAGTTAAATTTCAGGTACGATTTCTTAATGAAATATTTAATTTCAATATTGCATGCTTTCTAAATAATGCACAGTTTGTGTTAAAATTATTATATTTATTGCACATTTTTGTTAATATTACGTAGTTTTTTACTAATATTTAATATAGTTTAAATATTTGTGTTTGCTAAAAAAAAAATGCATGAATGTTTAGATTTGGTTTAATAGTTTGTGTATGTTTTTACTCTTAATTCTGCATGCGTTATTATGCATATGCAACAGGATATGATTGGATACTTAGAAAATGAACAACAGAATGTAGAACAACTATATCATGTAGCTGAAAATTTAGAACAAGTAAGAAATTGATAGATATTTTAATTTTTTTAAATTAGATTATTTAGTTATTTATTGTAATATTTAATTATTGCATGCCATTGAATGTTGTTGAAAACTTGTACTTATGTTTTGAACTTATTTGCATAAAATTATATATTAAAAGAAAGTAAAAAATATATTTTATTCTCTAATGCACTTATTTAGCACTAATGATTCATATATGAAAATTCCTAAATATAATTCCTAAATTCTGTTCAAAAACTATTTGTTATTAGATACAAAAATTCATTGTAAACTTAGAAAAATTAAACATTATATTTAACAGTCTAACATTGGATGTCTTTATATTAGTTATTTCTTGTATAAAGCTGGTTCTCACTTATGATGGCTTATCAACATGGAAGCTGCAATTTTCATTCTTGTTACTGCTGAATTCTATTGAGTGATGTATCCATGCAGTGTATATTGAGAAGGCTGGATTGACAATGAATTTGGTGTTGAATGGCATCAATGTTAATGATAGTTTCACATTGGTCAGTGCTTAAATTTTCATTTTGCTTCTGTGGTAAAAGTTGAGCTCAGCCCATATCCCTTTTTCATTATGATTTGTTGTCATGATTGCTTCTATACATCGCTTTGTCACTGATTCCATCAAAGTGAAAATCAACTTTTAGATATTCTCAATTTCTTAATGTAATATGTTTATTGATATCTGTATTTAAAAAAAATTAATAAATGTGATATCACATATGAAAGAGTGTTAGAGAATATACCAAGAATAAAAAAAGAAATAAATTTATTTGATAAATACAATTAAAATTAATGTTACCTGTCAATAGATAAAAGTGTTAAACTCTAAAATTATAAAAATTTTATGTCTACAGTTGTGTAATTCCAAGAGGAACAATTTAAAAAGAAACAATAGAAATAAATTTTAAATGTACAAAATTAATTATTTATAAATTTCATAATTCTTCTAATATTAGAATTGATTCTTCTTGATCTTAATTCTGAAATTTAAAAGAAAAGTTTAAATACTGTATCTTTATTGTAGTTAATTTTGATGTCTTTGCTATCGTTTATGGATAGTAGAATACAAAACAAGAACCATAAATATTTACATATTTTATATGAAGACTTATTAAAATAATTTTGTTTAAAATAGGATCACAATTTTCTATATTAGTTTAATGGTGTTTAATGTTAAAAAAATTAAATGTTCTTCAATAGGCTCAAACATTTTTGATTTATACAAAATATCATCCTAGGGGGAAACTGTTTTAGAACAAATTCAAACAAAATTTCATTTTAAATTTAAATTAAAATAAATGAATATAATATTAATGTTTTAAAGACTTGTATGCAATCTTTCATTATTGTTAGATGTTTTGAAAAACTAATAAAAATATAGATTTTAAAAATAAATTATTTAAAAGCATCTAATGTTATTTTAATGTTATCAGCTGACAACTGTATATATGTATAAACATCTAAAAGCTCGATATTTTATAATGAAAGCGAACGTTTGTCAGATTTAAATTGGGTTACTTTACCGCTACTTTTAATAATTCGATACTGAATAATTTGGTACTAGCGATAAGCTTTGGCACTATCTCGTATTAAATTTAATAATCTATATATATAAAAATGAATGTATGTCTGTCTGTGTGTCTGTGTGTCCTATGTCCTTCATGCATTACCACACCATTTATCCGATTGCCATGAAACTTTGGGAAGTTGTTTAATATACTCCGGCGAAGGTTTGTGGCATAGTACGATTGCCATGAAACTTCGGGAAGTTTTTTAATACACTCCCGCGAAGTACATTTATCCTACGATAGATGGCGCGCGTTTACACGAGCATTCGCGCATAGTGTGTTTGATCGATTTCAAATTGTGAAGACCATTTCCCCCCTTCAAAAATATATATGTCTCTATATATGCATTTGTGAACTGTTATTTACGATATTTGTAATCATTTTTGTTTAATCACTTTATTTCGACTTTTTTTGCTAATTATGTTTTCGCTCGAACTTCGTTAAAATCTTAACTGTACCCCGAACAACGACCGAAGTTGTAGGAAGAAATTCGCCTATTTTACCGATCTAGGTATCGCCCTTTTTCAAATTTTAATATCGACTCGAAATAATTTAAAAAGACAAATTACAATAAAACGGTTTATTATCTAACTATCAGAAATTTCCCAACATGCCAAGGAAGAGAGGAAGGAGCAATTAAATAATTAAAATTATAAAGGATTTAAAAATATATATATAAATGGGGAATATCGCGCTTTTGACAATCGCTGCAAGTGTGTGGGCTAAATTTGGAGAATCCGTGCTTCTCGCATGGACAACTGTATGTGGCCAGCTCACGCGTCGGAAAACCTTCCGAATTATTCGTGTACGCACCAGACGAAAAAACAAAAAATATCGTGTATCCACGAGCACTCCAATAAATAAATAGAATTGAAACGACACTTTGAAATGTTTTCCCGATGAAAACGAATAATAATAATATATTTCAATAAAAATGATAAAATGAAAATTTAATTTTATTATAACGAGTTTGCTTGAATTTCATCTCTTCTGAGATCGCAGCAATGCGCGACGGGTAAGCTAGTTATAATAAAATTAATATTTATTAAATAATTTAGAATATTCTGGAAGAAAAAAAATTAGTCCAGAATTGACTTGAACCTGCAACTGCTGATTATCATGCAGATGCATTGCCAGTTATGTTACCTGGACCTCTGTCCAATCCCTTACCTCCAAACATATTCAATTTAGATATATAATAGTAGCAGTATAGTAGCTTTATTTAAATCCAGAAATTGTTTGATTTCATTATATTGTATGTATTTAAATTAGTCACTAAACTCTGTCAAAATTTTGGAAAGATTGCCGAGGAAAATATCTATTTAGATAAAAATTTGTATTGTTTTTGGATTTATATAGTAGGATTTTAACAAGAAGCTAAATATCTTATATCTTTACACTCCAAATAGTTTCTATTTGGAGCATAAAGATATAAGGAAAGTGAAAAATGCTTGAACTGTTCTCCTTATATCTTAAGTTTTCTTTAAAACAATCAGTTGTTCCAACGTCCTGGGCATTGATGTTTCTCGTTCGTTGATTGAAGGTGGCAGGTGGGAAGACTCCATTGGTTGGTGTCGGCAACATGGCCTGAGGTTCGTAGTGGCACAGGTTACCAATTGGGCACAATGGATGGAAAACTGTTTTTTGCACATTGACTAACCATGTACAGGTGCACAGTTTGCAGAAAGTGAGTCTGTCCTTGAAGATCGGGGATTATATCAATATCCATTCTTTCTTTTGTCCATTCTGATTGGCTCCACATCCTTTTTTTCTGCTTCCCGATTGGTCTCTCATCTGTCAAAGCAAAGACAAGACCTAAGCAAAAAGACAAGACCTGTTTGGGTCACGAGAAAGTTCCACTTCAGAGAATCTACCCAACACCATCTGTTAACTCTGGACGGAAGGTGCTGACGGAACTTTGAAACTTGCACTCATATTTTATCTCATTGTTGTCTAGTCTATGATGTTTTAGAATTTTAATTACTTGACACAATGTCCCTTTTTATACTTAACATTTCCCCTTTTCAAAATTTCTCTATGTTCTAATTTCTTGTATATGAGCTCCTTGTCAAAGGTTTGTTTATGTCTATTGCATTGTGTTTGACATTAATAGTTTTTTTCTTGTCTTTGTCTCATATGACTTGCACAACTAATCCAACCTTTTATCAGTTTTAACAATGGAAGTTTTTCTAGTTTCATTTTAATAAATTTTTAATTTCAACCCGTTTTTGGAACCTCACATGAACAAAACTTTTATGAAATTTTGTATTTGAAAATATAATCATAACTCTCTTTAACAAATCTAATTTCAATTTAATAACGCTTTAATGGAACAAATAAATTAAAATGCAATAAAAAACTTTCAAATGATCTCAAGATATAATCTCACCTTCAGGCAAGATTGTTCTAAACAGTTTCTAAAGCGATTTTTACTATGAATTATATTATTTAAATACTTTTCAAAATATTGATTAATTTAATAATAAAATGTACAAATTTTTATGTTAACAGGCATTGNCAATTATCCGAAACATCAATTATCCAAAAGAATTCCAGTTGGCAAATTTAAATTTTTGCCAGTACTGTGGTGCTGCAATCTTTGGCTATGTCTTGGGCTACTCAAATATTTTACGTTTTTGATACTAAATTAACTTCTGAAGTATAATTTTTTATTATTTTTATATTTTTCAATAAAAAAATAATTTTTAACGATACAATAGTCTTCATTAGGCTTAACATCAACGAAAATTCAATGTGACGTGACATGCAATGGAGAAAAATTTCAACATGGGATAGGTTAATATATTTTTTCATACATAATCAGTTATCCGAAATATCGATTTTCCGAACAACCCCAGTCCCCAATTGATTCAGATAAACGACGCTCTACTGTATATTATGTTTGTTGTGAGCAGGATATCTTCTTATGAGTGTGCCATGGTGGCTTATGGTCTGAATTAGAATAAGACCTTTTTTAATTGAATACAATAGGCAAATAGACAGTGATTATATTTTGTTTATTAATTTACTTTTCTCAAGTGACATATAATGTACATTAAAATAAGGAACAGCCTTCGTGAAACTAGCCCATCTGGATATTTCCATTTTTCAGTTGGCCAGTCCACCACTACTATTAATAATTTACTAAAGTAAAATAGATATCTTATTAGAATTATTAACTGTAAATGAAATAAATGAACAAAAGTATATTTTATGTATAAAATTGTAAATTAAGTTTTAAGATATTAATAAAAGTTTTTTATCAATAGGAACTTTTACAAATGAAGAGTTCTGGACTAAATGTAATTAATGCTGCTGTTCAATATGGTGAGAAACTTCAAGTTGGTACTTCTCCTGAGGGTTGGGAGAATATGCAGGCAGTCATACAAAAACTTCAGATTGCTTTTGGCAAGATCTTTGAAGGATCAACTACACTAGATCGTTCTTTACAATCCATGCTATTTTTATGGTCAGAATTTGAAGAATTGCTTCAAAGATTACAGCAATGGGTTGAAAATACTAGTAAGCAATTGGAAAATGTACCAAAAATGGTTTGCACACTAGAAGAGAAAAAAGAATTAATGAGAACATATAGGGTAGGTTATAAGAACTATAGTAATAAGAATCAACTTTTATGTTTAGATGTACAGTATATTGTATAGGTTTTTGTAATGTTTGTTTCTGTTGATAATGTTTTTTTGTTTTAATATATTGTTTCCTTTTTTAAATGCTTGAAATAGTACTTTATTTTAAATATTAAATATAATTATATGCAAATGTGAACAACATGTAGATGACCACATTCAGTTTGAACAAAAGTGTGCCGAATGTGAAAAATGGATAGAAGAAAAAGATAAACATTATGCTGAAATTTCTGCACTTCCATGTGGTAACAAAGAAGCACTTCAAACTAAATATGGAAGGAACAAGGTTTGAAACATTTCTTATAAATTAATACTAAATGTAAAATTGATGTTTTTTTGCCCTAGATGGTATAAAGACTAATTTTGTATATTTCTTGGTCAAGATAGCCATGCTTATCCAATATTGTGGTGCATAACTGAATAAAATAATGATATAAGTAAAATTTGACCTTTGATAAATATAGCTATAACAGACCTGTCACATTGCACAGATACTTGGCCTGAAATGAGGAGGTTGTAAATATTGCAAAGCATAATGAAAAACTAATGCTAGACTTTTGTGGATTATGGCATGATAAAACAATGACTCACCTTATCAACATCCCTCAAAGTAATCTCCCATGTATTCCACACATTCCTACACATCTGTCAAATTGTGATATAACCACTAAGAGCAAACTCTACATATATGGTGTCACCTTCCATCTGTTAAAAGTCACTAGTTTTTTGTTCTTTCCTACAGTTGTTCACCTCCTTTCTTCTATGATCTCCTCAATGGTCACTTTATATGAGATAAAGCCCATTAAGGGAAAAAGATCTTGTCACCTTAGTCCTCATATTCTTACACACTTTCTATATGTTAACTTCTCCTTTTCACCAATCAGGGCACAAAGATGGTCCAGTTGAACCTCTTCAGACATGCACCTGACAAACTGAGACGATTATTACCTCCAGCAAAAAGTTTGATCAAGGCATTGTAATGGCCCAGGGTGAAAAACAAACAAACAAAAAACGAATATGGGATGAGACTACCACAAAGTTTTAAACATCTATTTATAAATTAATAATACACTTCAAATGTTATAATAACTAATTAATTAAATATTATATTTATTTACAAAGTTAGATGTTTGATAAAGAAGTGTATTATTACTTTCAGCTTTTACTAGTTTCTCAGGACACTGTTTTATAGTTAATCCTCATTTAATATCACTTTTTAGGTAGCTTCACTGCTTCAAACTACATGATATTTTCAAATTCAAAAATTCAGATGGTTCTTGTGAGATGTCTCACTTGATGACATCATTATCACATACCACTCTAGGGACCTGAGATTGAATTTGAGCAGTGATAAACATTAGTCCAACGTAGATCTCATTGTGTCAGTCTACAGCTCGAGTTGTGTTCAGTTATGTTCAAACTAAAAATTACAAAATACACATTGTTGCAGGCCAAATGTCAATTTACATCAGTCATCCCATGATAGTCTGTATCCAAATTGGGACCAGTTGTTTTAAAACTTTTAGTAATACAGTAGAGCATCGTTTATCCGAAAGTCAATTATCCGAAACATCAATTATCCAAAAGAATTCCAGTTGGCAAATTTAAATTTTTGCCAGTAGTGTGGTGCTGCAATCTTTGGCTATGTCTTGGGCTACTCAAATATTTTACGTTTTTGATACTAAATTAACTTCTGAAGTATAATTTTTTATTATTTTTATATTTTTCAATAAAAAAATAATGTNTAGGTACTCGATCCCGGAGAGGGGTAAGTGCCTGGCTTGTCTCCCTAACGGTTATTGGTTACGTCTACAACGCTGCAGGGATGAATGTAGATTTGTACGTTGTAACTGGGGCTCCCCCAAATACCGGTTCCCTGCCACCGTGCATTATGCACGAAAGAAAACGTGAAAAATTTCATTAAATTATTTTGAACAGGAGACGGTTATCGGAATAGATTTTTATTTTATGAAATAAGATTTCGGGAATGATAAATAATATATAACTAATATCATATAGAGAATTCTTTTCGTTAATCTTACATCAGATACTTATAAACGAAAGAAGGATTAGGCGTGTCGGAAAGAAATAACCGTGAGATTAATCTACAATTTCCAAAGAAGAGTTTCCAATTTTGTAGAAAGGGCTATTTTCTAATGCCATTAGCAATGAAATCTTATGGAACTCTCTTGTGATTTTATCGATAAAAGGTTTTTATGCGATGACTGTGAACGGATCCGTCCGATTCTCTGAATTGATGGATGATGATGGGGCATAAAAAAAAAGAAATGAATAATTCATTACAGCAGTGTTTTCAATCGTTTTTAACTTAAGTGAATTGAAAAAATCGGCGATTTGCGGTTCTCAGCGTATCTTCAGTTAGATGGTGATCTTACCGATTGTTAACTACTAGATTTGTCTTCAAAGATAAAGTCAGAATTTCAAACTAAAGCTGTGGACATACGTACCGGTATATCTCTATAGTATACATTCGATTCCCAAGGAGTCAATTTTTAATCATATTTTTAATTTATTTAATATAAAATATACACTCTCCACCTATCAAATTAGTAGTGGCTTACCCCCGTACATCATACTTTTCCTTTAATAATAGAGTCGTGTCGGTCATCTATTAATTGCTTTCGGAGGGGGGAGGGAATTTAGAATTGAAATAACTTGACTTCTAATTTGCATAGGAAGTTCGTATATAGTTAATCGAGGACCACCTACATCCAAGGTTTCCATATCTGGATTCAGATTTTATCTATCTAATTCCATTCTCGAGATAAAGGAAGGAAGGACGGACGGACGGACGACAATGAGGATTTATAGGTCTACAATTTTTTCAAATTGCAACCCATTTTCATACGATTTCTCCTACAAAATAATTTTCTAAATAAAATAATAACGTTTGAATTTAGGATAAATAATCAAAATCCGTTTATTTATCTCTTTCAAATGCATAATAATCGTTTCATAAATATTTACTAAAGTACTAAATTATTTATAAAATATAGAAAATTTTTGACGCGTACATATTGATGTAATCGTATTAAAGCTAGCGGCATTCATAATAAAATTTAAAATTTATTAAGACATTAAAGGATGACGAAGGAGGAAAACGTGGCATTCTTATAGAACGTTTAGGGAATTCGTGGAATTTCTATTGATCGAACATTTTCAATAAATGTTTCTTAGTGAAATTTTCAACTTCTAAATTGTTTGGAATGTAATTTAGTTTGTTTATTTGTCTATTTGTATGTATTGAATTATAGAGAAATGAAGGAAAAAAAATCATTAAAATATAATCTGATTTTGAAAGAAATATTGATTTTTATTGAAGACAGTGTAATATTTTCTTTAAAACAAGACTATGCTATTCATTACAGGAAAAACTTAGAACTTCTGAAAAAATCAATGAAATATTAATTATGAAATTACAGGAATTCCCTTACATATGAAAATTCATAAATATGTTCAATATTTAAATTTTATGCATATTCTATCACTGCTCATGAGGTGGCATGGAAGTTGGTAATGTTGGGATAATGGTATTTTTTGCTATTGTTTGTAAATTTTTATAAACTTTTATGAATAGTGGTTCAAAAACGGCAATCAAAATGTAATAGTAAATCTAACATTTGAGATAAATGCAAGAAGTATGCTCTATTATCATAGAAACTAAACTTGTCATTTTAAAACTAGATGTGTTAGGTGTAAAAAAACTGCATTTGAAACACCCACTACAAAGCAGTAGTGAGAGTGTAAACAAGTGTAATATATTGTATTAAGTACTGTACATCGAAGGATCAAACACTAACAATATGTGGTTATTCTGTGTACAAATGTACTTTCTAGGTTAGTTTTCGACTTACGAACATCTCAACATATGACAAAACCTCAGGAACCTAACCTGTTTGTAGGTAGGGGAGTGCCTGTATTTTAATTTTTTAACAATTTTAATCTTCAAAGTGTTTAATATTTATAAAATAAAGTTTTGAAATTGCTAAACTCATCATTTGAATTTGTAACAAAATTTAAAAATTAAATTATTCAAATTATTGTGTATTAAAATTACTTTTCATTTTGTAGTATTTATTCTTTCTTTAAAAAATTTAGTAAAGAATGCATTTCAAAGATCCTAAATTAAATGTATTAAATACATATAAAAATAAAATAGTTGAATTACTACGTGAAATTGGTTTCTAAGTAATGTTTTTAATTCACTTTTTAAAAAAATTAAGAATGTATTGAAAAATATTGTATAAAATAATTGTATCAGAATGAATATGGCCAATTTTATTGCTTTAAAATTATAACTTTTTACAACTGTTTAATTTTATTACTATATTTCAGTCATGTGTAGATTTCTATGATGATGTTGTAAGCAAGCATGATTACCTGAGTAAATTAATGGGAGAAATTAAAGACTGGTTAGGTGAAGTTCAGAATACTCTTGTGACCTGTACTGATACATCTTTGGATAGGATATCATTACACAATAATCTTGAAAGAGTAAAGGTAAGTAATCTATATTATTCTTCTTATTTTAATTACAGACAATTTTCATTTCTTACATTTTGAATATTAATTCATTTTAAACAAACTTTGAAAAAAAATATTTCTTCTAAAATTGAAATCTTGATTTTGAAGTCCTAAAAGTTTTTAATAAATTTATATAAACATCCTAAAGCTTGATGTATTAATACTAAACCAAATAATTGCCATATAATATCTGATTAATTATGGCAATTATTTGATTTAGTTTTAATAAATCATTTTGAATTGAAAACAAAGCTTATCATCAATAATTTATGGATTTTTATAGTTTTTTTAAAGATGATAATCTCACTTTCTTAGTTTGAGAAACTCATAGTTGGTTAAAGATTTCTTTATGAAAATATATTATAATTCTGATTAACATACATAAAACCTAAATTTTGAATTAAAATTTTTTTGAATGCATATTAAAACAGTACATTCTTTATTGTACTTTTCAGATTATGCTAGGAAATTTTTCTGATGAAGAATATAAACTTGTCCAAGCTGAAGAACAATTAGCTTCCGTTTTAGAAGGAACAGAACCATCAGGTCATGCATCTCTGAGAAAAGAACTTGAGGATTTAAGAGAATTATGGAAGGAAACTCAACAGAAAACTCAGAGTACTATTGAGAATTTAGAAATTATGTTAAAACAATGGCAAGAGTATGAAGAAAGAATAGAAGAAATACAGTTATGGCTAAAAGAATCAGAAAATGCATTACAAATGATCCCTCTTCAAGCAACTATTTCAGAAAAACGTGAACAGCTTGAAAAATTAAAGGTAGTAGAAATAATTATAAGTGTAATTAAATCAATGCAGTTATAATTAACGGTTTTGTTATAATTTATTTATTATATTGAAATTCAATATTTGTTTTAATGTTTTTGTGTCTTCACTGTCAAAAATATATTTGAGGATATTTTACAATTATCTATTTTTTTTAATAAAATTATCTTATGATTTTTGTTTTTTCAAATTCTACTTTTATAAATATACTGTAGACATATAGACTAACATTTTTTCTGTTGTTTTTTATTAACAGTGTATGGAGAGTGAAATTCAAGCAAAGGAATTGGAAATTGATGCCGTTACTGATAAAATACAAAAACTACACAAAGGATCGGCAACTCGCCGTATTAGTCAACTCAGCGAACTCGGAATACGTTATCAGTTATTAGTTTCAAATATTAGAGTAAGTATTTATTTGTATATTTTACTTTATAATCTAAAATTCTTTATTCATTTTATTACGGATTATTTATTTTTAGGATATGGTGTCTCGATGGAATGGCTACGTATGTAATCATCAAGATTTCCTAAATCAAACTAGCGAATGTCAGAATAAGCTTTCTGAAGCTGAACAAAAATTAAAATCATGTGAAATAATGGAGGGTACTCTTTCTGATTTACAAGAGCGACTCACAGTTGTACAGGTATATTTTTTCAGAATATTTTTTAACTTTCATTATTTTTAATAATAATTTGCAGTCATTAGATATATTCAATAATAATAGACCTTTAAAAGGCTAGGCACAACCATAATCTAACCTTTTTTTTTAAAGTCTAGTTATTGTACTGTAAAGATGATGTGTGCTATTTTTTCATATTTTGTTGTTATATTTGTTTTGTTTTATCAAAACTTAATTGGAACTCTAGTAACCATTCATTCTATTCAGAGACAGTATATTTAATATATGAAAGTATGGTTAAGTCAATTTTGACATCAGAGCAGGTTAGATTACTGTTGTGCTCAGCTTTTCATTTGAACTAATTGATATATAAAGTTGTGGTGTGTATGCGGACGAACAATACAATACAAAGTTGTACACACAAAAAAAAAGGGAAGCTTTATTTTCCTTTTTGTGTGGTTTTCCATACACTTGGTTCTATAGGATCCCAACTATGTAGCTCCTACATGTACAAGACAGTTTCGATAGGTCCTTTTGTATGAACAAAGGCCAGTGACATGCGTCCGCAACAAAAAATGGTTTAAATTGAGATATATTCCTGAAATATTATAACTAACTTAAACTATCTTAAACTAACTACTATACTAAAAACAAAGAGAAAAAAGGAGGATGAGATGAAGGACTCATAAAAGTGCAAAGAAAACAAAGAGAAGGTTGGTGGGGTACCTGGGCCTTTCATAGATCTTCAATTTTCACAACATCAGGACTTGTGATCAATTCATCTTTTTCTCTGTCCTTTTCTATATCAAAAATCTGAAAATCCCAAAGTATTTGCAAAGCTCTCAGTCTCAGCAACAGTACTGTTTATTCGTTTCTCTCCAAACAACCTAAGGTCTATTCCTCATCCTACTAAGCGCTGACTTTGACCTCTTTCTCTTTCCATCTGCTCTCCTCGAATGCTATCTCAAGAATGTCCCTTTCTTTTTTCTGACATTCTCGGGGCTTTTTCTCTCTTTTGTTCCCCCCCTTTTGTTCCTGGACAATGGTTGCCTCCACCCATAGGGAAGGAATGGATGAGAAAGTTCTAGAAACAGTGACATGAAGGACAAAGGACTGAGATTAATATAAAACTTATATTTAACCCCTATGTATATAGGCATGGCATACCGCCACAAAATAATAGTTTATACAAGGTCTGTTCAAAAAGTATCGGACCTTTTTTTTTCCGCGTAAACCAATGATGTGTGAGAGGCCTCCTTCGGTGGAGTTGTGGAGGGGACAGTCATGCACAGCCCTGAATTTTTTCCCGCCTGCAGGAAGTGTCAGTCGTTGGCAATCGGCCTATGAGTGAGGTTATGTAGTGCGCTCTCGTCGGATTCCACTAAGCTGGAAAATGACTGAACAACGTGAGCAGCGATATTACATCAAATTTTGCCAAAAACTTTGGCGATACCCGAGCGTAAACCATTCGCAAGATTCAGCAGGCTTTCGGGGACAATCCTCGAGGCCAAAAAAAGCGCGGCAGGTCCGCAGAAATATCAAAGGTCATATTGACAGTTTTTTCGACTCTTGTGGGGTGGTGTGTCGTGAGTACGCACCACAAGGCCAAACCATCGCAAAGGAGTACTACCAGGAGGTCCTTCATCGTCGTTCCTATACAGTGCGACGCAAACGACCGGATCTGTGGTTGATCAAAACTTAGCAGCTCCATCGTGATAACGCATCCACCCATTCTGCGCATCTGATTTGGGCTTTCGTCGCCAAACACAATACTCCTGTGGTTCGTCACGCTCCGTACTCTCTTCACATGGCTCCGTGTGACTTTTGGCTATTTCCCAAGCTGAAAATGCCGCTAAAAGGAACCCGAATTTAGTCAAGAGAAGACATTGTGCGGAATCCGACGGACCGGCTGATGGCCATTCCAAAAGATGCGTTCCAGCAGTGTTTCCAGCAATGTCAGGAATGCTGGGAGAAGTATATACTTTACCAAGGTGACTACTTTGAAGGGGATTAGGGTTTTGTACCTCAAAGTCAATAAATTTATTTTTGCCGACCAAAGGTCCGATACTTTTTGAACAGACCTTTATATAAAAACACTATGCATCTCTCTATCATATTTTTATTATTTTATCAACTTTTTACTGATAATTTCTATTATAATTAAATATGTGCATATTTAATATTTCTTGTTATTTTTAGGAAATTACAAGCAACAAAGAAGAATTATTTGGCAGTGTTCAGTCAACTGTTGAACAAGGTCAATTAGTATTATCTGGTACAGCTCCTGTAGGACATCAACAGATTAATGATATAATACAAGAATTACAAGATAAAAGAAATTTGTTGTCATCTAAATTGGTTTCTGTTAAGACATCACTTGAAGATTGGATTCATATTTGGTCTGACTTTCTTCATCTAATGAAACAAGTTACTAAAACAGTTGATTATTTGGAACTAGGATTACAAGAAGCTAGTCAACTTCAAACTACATGGGCAGAGAAAAAGTCACAAGTGGATCGTGTAAAAGTTAGTGTAATATGTATAAAATATATAATAATAAAATTTCTTTTATTTATCAGTTATTTTTAATAAAAAATTTATAAATTTATTTTAAAGAGTTTGCAACATAAAGCAGCACAAGAACGAATAGAAGTAGATCATTTGAAAAGTCGAGCTGTTGAAATGATTGATAGTGGACCAGAAAGCAGTCATACTACACAAGCAATGAATGTCGTGCATAAATTTGCTACTCTTTCAGATAGTATTAATGTAAGCAAAAAATTTTAATTGTTTTAATTTACATTTCACCACACACTTAGCAAATTAAGTTAATCATTGTATATGGGATGAGTCATAATTAAGTCCATATGTTTTATTTTTATGGTTCACAAATACAGCAACTACACAAGAATTAGGAACCTGTCTGTATATGAATTTGTGGCTTTTTATAATACTCAGTAAGAGTTCTGACATTGTTATTGCATTTCTGATAATGTAATGGAACATCTTGCACTCAGGGCTGTTGAGAATTTGTCTCTTTTGCTCCTAAACAGACTCCTTTTGCCATATTTATGTTGAACAATTGAAATATGTAGAATATTCCTTTATTAATAAAAACAGTCTTAAATATTTTATTTTATGTTAGTCAAAATAATACTAATTTTATAAGGGTAGGAACTACAATAGGCTCCTAAGTTTTTCTGGACCAGAGGAAAAATTACTAGCCTTCCCTCTTGATCAAGGATGGTGAATCAGCAGAATAATACACTATTCCCGACTACCTAGTTGTTATTTTTTTAAAATTGATTCCTACTCCTGACTCCAATAACAAGATTCAACTCTGAAGTTGGTATTTTTTAAAACTGAATCTGACTTCTGATTCCCATAAAAAGATTTGAATCCTAGACTTCTGATTATGACTCTCCATCCTTGCTCTTGAAGGCACTGCTTGTATTACCTATTGTGTTATATCCAGGGCTGGCACAAGGTAGATTCAGTATGTTTTCTGGAACCTAGTCCTGTGCATTAAAAATCCATACAAAGTTCCTTATAAATTTTGCAGGACCATATGCATAGTATTATATGTGTATGATGAATCCAATTGTGAAATATGTAGTTAAAAAATAAACTAAAAACACATGCAGAGTGTCCTAAATACAAGTTGCGTCTAGATATGCAGTAATATTGTTTTAGTCACATTCCTAAGTTTTAGTTTTAGTAAATTAAAACTATGCTAGTATGCACTCACACTTTATATTTCTAAATTTTATAACAATAATTTATTATAAATATACATAAATGTGTTTTCTTTCTTTTGCCCCACACAATTTTTGAAATCAGTCCTGCAAAACTTCATATGACTGATTATATTATGAGATGTTGACACATTTCCTTTAGATCATGGTTTCAAGATTTCAAAATTCCATGGTTTATGGCTATAAACTTTTGTAGTTCAAAGTTTTCTGATTACTTTTCTTCCATCTCCATCATCTCTGAATCAACACAGACAATTACCACATCTCCATTTTAGTTGAAATTTGTATATTTCAACTAGAATATAATATAATTTCATGGCATAAAACAGACTTTCAATGCTGGACACAGCATTGAAAGTCTGTTTTATGCCATGTTGTGTTCTTTGTGGCAGGTTGGATACACAGTGAGAAGATACCACCAATACACAAACTAAATGTCAATAACTAATATACAAAATAGCAATTTGAAATTTTAGTTATGAATTGTGTGTACAAGACCTTGCATTTTTTAAATGTTTGACATAATTATGAATCACTCTGATTGTTATTTCTTAAAAAATATTTTTTATGTCTCTAGTATCTGGGAAGCACCAAAATAATCCTGACATTAATGTGGGGCAAGAATGTCTGAGGCTTACAATATAACATACCTCAGGGATCAATAGATGGATGAAACAATTCATAACAGTTAATATAGATGTACTGTAAGTACATCAAACAACAGATGATAGCTTTTCAATTATCAATCATGCAGTGATTAATAATGCCCAATTGATAGTATCTACTCACTAACTAATTACAAATCTGATGGTTAATTTTTACAGTTATTTTACAGGGAGAGTATACATCATTGATCTGCTTGTGTACAATTCTTCATAACCATGTGATAGTCTATATCTCTTAAACAAAGGGCTGATGAGCATGTGTCAGTAAATGTTACTCACCACCAAAAATACGATAGTAAGGGACTCTAGCCCATAAAGATTCCTCTTCTCTAAATGGAGATTTCGCTCCTCGTATTGTCCTCAAGTTGATGCAATTGGATTTTCTCCACTGTCTCCCTAATGTTCTATAGTTTGTCAGTGGCGTGTATGGCAACCCTTACCTTCTTTCTTATCTTTATCCTCCTCCTTGGTCCAGTCAATGGGCTCCAGAACACACAGGTAACAAAAAGATAGCTCTTCTTGTGGGGTCCTTTCCTTTTATATTTCTTGCTCTCCGGAACTTCTGTCTCCTATCACATGGTCCCTTGAACAACCAATCATCAGTCAACCAATGACACCCACCCAAAAGGTGGTGCGTGACATGACAGAAAAATTACATTCATGCATGACAAAAAACAAAAACCCATCATTTATAATGAAAAATGAGCATAAAAAAATAATATACAAAAAAAAGTTGCATAGCACTGTATGTCAAAGAACCAAATATAATTAATACTTTCAAATGAATATTTAAGATTATAAAGAAAAAAATTTTCTGTAACTTTTCATTATCTTCTTCGAATATATTATATTTAATTAAAAGCAATCACACTGCCCTTAGATCAATCATTCTAGAAATAAACATGTCTTTATTTGCAATGAATAGAAATTGATAGATTTTACTACAGTAATAGAAGGTTATTTTTAATTATAAAAGGAAGACATAATCAAATTATAATTATTATCACCTTATGAATAAATAATTAAAAAATTAAAAATTAATAAAATTGAAAGCATTTTGAATAATTAGTGACATTATACAAAAATACTTTTCATATGTTTCCAGTACTCACTTAATACTTCGAACAAACATTTTTCCAGGTGCTTAATATTTATTATAAGTGATTTTATATTATTATCAAAAAGTAATTTTATTTTTATTTAAATTTATAAATATCAAATTACAACGTAAGAAATTTAAATAATGTCAAGGAATCTTCAAATTATCCCATTTTGGAATGAAACATAGCTCCTTCATATTTGGATGGCTTCTAACCTGAGGCAGACCTGTAAATCAAGCCAAAAATATTTGTTTGGAGTATTAAGTGAGTGCTGGAAACATGAAAAGTGTGTTTGTATGATTTAACAAAAATTCCAGCATTTAGTGGAAAGTTTAATAATTTGTGATTATAATACTATATGAATATTTAAAAAAAAATTCAAGCTAGAATACACAACCATAAATATGATGTGGCCAATTATTGTCTGTGTTGATTCAGAGATGATGGAGAAGGAAGAAAAGTAATCAGAAAACTTTGAACTGCAAAAGTTTATAGCCATAAACCATGGAATTTGGAAATCTTTAAACTGTTAATCTAAAGGAAGTGTGTCAACATCTTGTAATATAATCAGAATCATATGAAGTTTTGTGGGACTGATTTCAAAAATTGTGTGGGGCAAAAGAAAGAAAACACATTTATGCATATTTATAATAAATTATTGTTATAAAATTTAGAAATACAAAGTGTGAAATGCATACTAGTATAGTTTTAATTTACTAAAAGTAAAACTACACTTATATGATGACTAAAACCAAAACTCAGGAATGTGACTAAGACAATAGACACAACTTAATGATGTGTGGGAATTAAAACACAGCACTTGCCTGTTATGCTGCTGAACTCAGGGTTTCTCCTGTTGGGATGAGGCTACCCTTTTACATTGGGTCTTTGACTGACATGACATATGATCTTTGGAGGCTTTAGAAATTTATATAGCTGACATGAAGAGAAATTGCATCAACTCTGACTGTATTCCAGTACTGCAGTCATGGAAATATTATTTAGATTGCCACAGAATGTAATAAAAATAATTTTATTTGTAACATTATACTTTGTAAAAAAATTATTTAGATAATTTTGTGATGTAAACAATGTGTCAATATTCGTATCAAACATCTTTTTAAATGTTTAAAAGATTAGAACACAATGAAGTTTGAATGATAGAACTGTTTTTTATGTATTCATTCTTGATGAGGGCCTCTAAATGATGTCCAAAAACATTTGAGCAGTAAATTTGTTATTTATTGTTTGCTGGAAATTGCATTCAAGGTGTTGATTATTTGATTATATGAATATTCAGTTTTTAATTGTATATGTTTAAAATTAAGACTAAAATATATATTTATCGATTATAGGAACAAGTTTTGAAAAATGAACAGAATTACAGAGATCACATTACTTATAAAAATCTATGTGATGATCTGGTGGCATGGATGAGACAGATAAGAGAACAGGTTCCACCTATGACTCGTTCATTAAGTGATCGTCTTAATTTAGAAGCCAGTGTTACCACATTAGAGGTTAGAAATTAAACGTTTTAATGCATAAAATTTTTTATTATTTTTACTAGATTTAAATTTAAGCTGTATTTCATTTAATTTTAGGAATTAATGGCAAAGAAATCACAAGGTCAACAAAAAGTCGAGTCCATGATTCAAGCTGGAAAAACATGTATGAAATCTAGTTCTGAAGCTGGAAATAAATTAATTTCTTCTGATATGGAAACTCTTCAGTGTGATTTTTCTAATTTATTTACTGATATACAAGACATGAAAATTAAATTGGGTATGTATATTAATAATTTTGTTTTTGAATATTTGTTTTAATATATATGATATATCAATTCAAATACCACAGTTTTTTAAGAATCATATTAAAAAATTTTGCATTATCTGTAAAATGATTTGAAATAATTGAAGCATAATCAAATGATAAAAATGATAAATTTTTAACTTCTTTTCTTGTATCATTTGAAAGATGTGTAACATTTATTTATAGTTTATTCTGTAATAAATTTTTAAGTTTGAATATAAAATAATGTAATGCTGTCTGAAGTTATAACGTTATTGTTAATTGTGACAAATTACAGATAATATCTGTGTTCAGTTGAAAGAATTTAAAGACGAATATGAACGAGTAAGTGAATGGTTACAATTAATGGATGGAGAAGTTAAAGCCCAGAGGGCAACTTTAAAAGCAACATTGGAAGAAAAGGAATCTTCATCAAAATATTGTAAAGTAAGTTATAATATAACTTATTTATATTTTTAACGTTTTCATCATCGAAAGATAAATTATTTTTAAAACAAAAGATTTTTAATTTGAAACTACTCTTATAATAAATAATAACTTATTGTATACAATAAAATCATTTCATCCATTTTATATATACATGGTTTGATATTTGCAACTCCTTTTGTAATACAGTATTCACATTAATAAATATTATAAAAATAAACTATGATATAGTAGTAATAATTAAATTTAGATATCTGGCATCTGAGATAATATACATTGTCATACCAATGGATATTATCTCAGATGCCAGATATCTAAATTTATAAAAATAAACTATGATATAGTAGTAATAATTAAATTTAGATATCTGGCATCTGAGATAATATACATTGTCATACCAATGGACCAAACTTGGAGTGACGTAGAGACCAAATGTGCAAGTGATAATTAGAATAAGATTGCATAGTATGAAACTTTCAAACAGTCTTATTTCAATAAATGAAATCTTTGATTTCTTAAAATATGGTGTTTTTCCTTTAATTATATAAAGCTGATAGTTCTTAAATCAGTTTTGAAGGATTTATTATATGTAAAAGATTATAATATTTTAATAATTGTAATAAAAAGTGTTTCAAATTTGAAATTTAAAATCATGTACAGAAAATTATATTTCTTTTTATTTTGGTTTTTCTAAAATATCAAAAATTTATCTTAAGAAAGACTGCAGTATGAATACAAAAGTATTTTTATTTAAATATTGAAAGTTACTCCAATACTTAGTTCTTAAAATATATTTTTTTTAACTTAAATTAAGGCATTAGACTTAGAATATTAAATAATAATTATGAATTTTTAGTCTATACAGATTTATGAAGTTTGTTAAACCAACTTGAAAGTCACGAATTGACAATCTTTTCTATTATTATGCACACAAAATTATACTAAAACTACTATTACTAATACTAATATTTATGAATATTTTTATTATATGCATTAATTCTCTTAATTTTTTTTCTCTTATTTTTTACAATATTCTAAAATTATTATTTCTTTGCATTAAAATTTCATGATGAACTCAAAACACATTTTTTTTCAAAATATCTGGTTTTATTTTTTATTGCAGGGATTGCTGGAAGAATTAGAAAAAGGAAAAGAATCAGTTGAGAAATTAACAATTTTGTCACAGGGATTGTTGACTTCACATCTTGATACGTATATTAGAAATCAGCTTACAATAATAAATTCTCGCTATCAGGTTATTTTGAATCTAGCAAAGGTAAAAATGTAGTCAGAATAAATATTTTATAAAGTTATAAAAAATTTTAATAATTTTTAAAAGTTATTAATTTTATAAATCATTTTGAAAGGATGTTGCAAACAAGATTGAACAGAATTATGAACAACATAAAAATTACAAACAAAAATTAAACGAAAGTCAAACATGGATTAATAAAGTTAAGGAGACGTTAAATATAATTGGTAAACCAAAAGGAACGAGAGAAGAAATTGAAGAACAGCTCATAAAAATCCAAGTAAGATTTATTAATTTATAAAAAAAAATATACATATTAATTTTTCATGCTATCAATTATAATTTCTATTTTATACTTACTTGATTACTAAAATTAAATTTTGTTTCAAATTCAATTTTTTAATAAATTTTCTCTTCAGGAAATTATTAGAAGACAAGAAGAGGGTCAAGCTCTAGTTCATGCAACATTAGGAAATGGTGATAAAACACTGCGTTCGACACATCCTTCTGGAAAAGAAGTAATTACAACAGAAATGCAAGAACTACAATCTCAGTGGGATCAATTAGTATTAGCTATCTCTGAAGCAAAAGTAATTAATTTATTAATTTTATTTAATTACATTTGATTTAATTTAATTCATCAATTCATTTAGTAGTAATATTCAAAAATTTGAAAATTAATTAATTTTCAGTTTTTTGATTTTTATCTATTTTCAGATAAGTTTTTATTTTTAATAACAGCCATTAAATATCAGTTTAATTTACATTCTAATTTAACTTTCTAAAGCAAAAATGGTACAAATAATTTGTTTTTTTAAGACAATTTCTGTTCACTCATTAATTTGATGATCAATGAATTTTTTTTGTTAATATAAGCCTTTAATTTTTAAACTTTAAGGTTTCGCTAGAAACTGCTTTGCTTCAATGGGCTGATTATCGTTCATCGGAAGCACGATTGGTTCAATGGATAGATGAACACGATCAAAAATTAGAACGAATTAAAAAGATTCAAGTTTCACCAACATTTAAAGAAAATGCCACACAAAGAAGAGCAAAGTTACGAAAAACAAATGTAAATTCACTTTTTACAAATTTAATTATATCCATAAGAATTATTTACATGAAGTAATTAACTATGTTTAATTTCTTTTCATCAGAGCCTTGTTGCAGATATTGAATCATTCGAACCTATGATTCAATCGATGAGTACAAAAGCTGAACAACTTCAACAAACTCCTTCCAGCAGTATTACTGATAAATACAAAACATTAGCCAAATCTGCAAAGGTTACTTTATTATTTTTCTTTCATACATTAACTAAATATTTATATATGAAAATTATAAAAGTATAATTTATACAAACTTTTTACTTTGTATAAAAAATAAATGTGTACAAAATTTAGAAAAGATTTCCATTCTTTTTTAATGTTATGTGCTCGTTGTTTCCTTTTTTCTGTTGAAAAGTATAATGATAATGTTTATTAAAAGCATATTTATTTTAAATAGATGACTTTTTTTATACAAAATGTGTGGATTCTTCATGGTAATCAAAGTTAATTTATGAATCTTTCAGAAAGACTATTGGATAATTTATGCCTTGTTTCATATCTTCTTAACTCATCCTCTTCAGATACTTTCCAGCTTTTGCAAAAATATTGTTCAAACTATCATTCAGTTTCTGCTCTAGAGAACTCATGTTTGTTATTTCCAGATCATACATCTTTTTCGTCTTTTGTTAACTAGAACGACTGCTCACGATTCACTTAGCATTTTAAACTGATTATGCATTTTTTGTAGATATTTTTGTTTGTTTTCAACTAAAAATTCTTTTAAGAATTATTTTAAAATGTAAATAGCAATCCTTTTCAAAATCAGCTTTATCATCTCCAAACTTAATAAAAAATATATATAATAACAATAAAATTTTCATTTATTTTAAAATAGATTTAATATTTAAAATTTGATATGAAAGAGCATCAGTTTATGTTTAAACAGAATAAGAAAATTATAAAACTCTATTGTATAATTATCGTAATTTTTGTTTTTTATTTTAAAGTATTATTATAGAGTAAAATCATATTTGAACATTTTATAAATTTATACATGCCATTTTTTAATTAAATAACAATAATGATTTTATTATACTAGGATTATCTGGACCAACAAAAATCACAAATGGATAACTTCCAAAAGTTTATGGATATTTGTAATGAATTTAATCGTTGGTTGAATACTGCCAAGGAAAAATATAGCAAGTGTGCTCAACCATCTGGGGATAGAGATGCTCTTAAAAGTAAAACTAAATTAATTAAGGTAAATCATTTTTATTTAATATATTTTAATTCAAAAGCTATATTTCACTGTTTTTCTTATAAACTCTATCTTCAAAATTTGTTAATAAATTATATATTTGTTGCATATCATATATTACTACATACATATTACTACATATATTACTACATACAGTGGTACCTCAGGATACGAAATTAATCCGTTCCGAAACTGAGATCGTATCATGAAAATGTTGTAAGGTGGATCATCTTTTCCCATATGATTACATGTAAAACCAAATAATTCGTTCCAACGCGAAAAACATACTCAAATTAAAGCCAAGTAATACATTAAAAAAATAACAGTAGTAAGAAAAACAAATGAAAAATGCGAACTAATGTAACGTCGTATGGTGAGTTTTTGTTCGTATCGTGGAGCAAAAATATGTTCGAATTTCATGTCGTATCCTGAAAATTTTGTATGCTGGGGCGTTCGTAACCTGAGGTACCACTGTATAATGATTAACAATAAGTTGTGAAGTATCAAACTATATTATATTATCAATATCAAATTGTAAATTTTTAGCATGGAATATGCATCCAATATCTTATAAGTAAGTTTTTAATTATCTTGAATAGAGAATAGAAATAAAAAATGTTAGAAAATACATTTTAAGAACATATACTAAAATAATCATGAATTATCATAATTATTTTAGTGTATTCATGATTATTTTTAGAGCAGAAGAAAAGGTTTTGTCATGTCTTAATGCTATTTTAGTGCAAAATAATTACATAACTAACTCTAGAACAGCAAATTTAAAAAACAATTACATATTAACATGAAAAGAGCTTACAATATTATTCACAATAATTGTCTCATAAAATTATAGACTTTTATGTCTACTCATAGAGTGCTAGAAATATTTTCACACCTATTCAAGTTTATCTTCACCAGTTTCATATAAATTTAAAATCTTCTGTATTCTCAGATCACTTTCTTTCTAATATTGATTTCAATAAAATAAAAAGTAATCTTCTAAAGATAAATTGAGGAAATGAAAGGAATGATTTAGTTTATCAACTTTATATTTTGTTAAATATTTCTTAATCATCACTTCAGAATGAGATTACATACTGTTGTGCAGCTGGAATCAATTCTGAAATCTGATAAATGCATAAGCAATAGCGAATATTATTACATTTTATGTATTTGTTTTGTAATTCATAGATTTTGAGTTGATCTTTTATTCAACTTGCAGTAAATCTTAATAATTACTTTTTGTTTCATACTACCAAGAATAACAATAAGTTGTACAATATAACAGAAATAACAGTCTTGTTTAATGTTTTGTATTATAGTTTGATTAGTTGTTATGGATGAGACTACTCTTGTTTTTATACGCTTTTATATACTTTAAAATGATTCAGATTTGGAACTTAACACTGTATGCAAAGAATGCAAAAGTAAAGAGAGAAAACAGAGCAAATGAGATGAGTGAAACAAATTTTATTTGCACTGCAAGTGTGATTTCAAGTTGTAGTTTTTCACTTTTACCAATAGATTGTGTTTTGAAAAATTCTATATATATTGCAGTTGCCACATTAATATTCTTCTTTTTGTTTACTGTGTTTGCTTATTGAAATTAAATTATATATCTGTATTATTTTCAATATAGATATTTTTAATTATTGGGTACCATATTTTTCCTGCTGTGATTTGAGAACTCTAGCTGAGGTAAAAACATTGCTTTCATTGGCTCGTGCTTCCCAATGAACTATAACTGTCACATACTCCTGTTGGCTAACATGAAAATTTTTAACTTGCTTTATGAGATTAAGTATGCTTACATTCCATTGATAGCTCTCTTCACTTTGTCCAGTGTAAATCACTCTTTATTTGACAAATCTTGTGAAAGACTTCAGAAAAGATTGATACATTTATTTTAATCCTTCACAACATATATGTAATCATGCATTGATATAATGGGAACAGACTTTCATAATTATTTTATTCTTCATTTTGTGGAATTTTATTAGGATTTAAACTACTATAATTAGCTCAAAATATACCTTAATCCAGTAACAAAAAAACAAATTCATGAATTGTTACTACTTATCCACTGGTATATGATTTAAGAATTTAATGATTATATACACAGATAGCACTGGAAATAATTTTATAATGAAAGAAAATGTTTGTGGAGTGTAGAGGACGAACAATATAATACAAAGTCGTATAAAAATAAAAATTTTTATTAAGGTTGTTTTTTCACTTGGTCCTATGTACACTTGGTTCTTTATGATCCCAAACTATGTAGTTCCTATATATCTAATACAGTTCGATATATCCTTTACATAAACAAAGGCGGGAGACACGTGTTCATGACAAACAAAAGGTTTAACTTGAAATATATTTCCTTAACATTATGATTAACTTAACCTATCTTAACCTAACTTATATACTAAATAAGAATGAAAGAGAAGAAATATGAAGGAATAAGAAAAGTATAAGAAAAAGGTTGGTGGGGCACCCAGGTCTCCGATATCCTCGACGTTGGGACTTGCGCTCAGTTTGCTGTCTTCCCAGTTCCTATCTGTATCAGCTATTAAAATTTCAAGGAATTTTCAAAGCCCTCGAACTTAGCGTCAGTCCAGTTCATTTGTTTTCAGATGACCTTGAGTCCGTTCCTTGTCTTACTCGGCAACAACTTCAACCTCTTTTTTTCTTTCCGTCTGCTCTCCTCGTACGCTACCTCTGGAATGTCCATTTCTCATTTCCTGACGCCCCCGGGGCTTTTTTGTTTTCCTTTGTTTCCCCTCTTTGTTCCTGGGCAAAGGTTGCCCCCACCCGTAGAGAAAGAGTAAATGAGAAAGTTCTAGAAACAGTAACGTGAAAGACAAAGGATTTAGATTAATATAAAACTTATATTTAACCTCTATGTACACAGGCATGGCGTACCGCCACAATGTTAATTTTTTTCCCATTAAAAAAATATTCTCAATAAATTTTTTTATAAACATCAATTTAACTTTTTTAGTTTTTTATTTATAATTATTTGTAAATAAATCTGATTTCTTCTACTTACACTAATATAGCATGCTATTTTATGATCATAAAATAATCTCTTTTAATGGCATGTACAGTATTATTATTTGAATAGTACATAGGATCATACAGTGTTTATTTTTATAAACACCATGGTTGCAAATACAAATGTACATATCTTTATAGTTTAATTCTAAAATCAATATATGCTTAAATCTGTTAAAGCTAGAAAATGCACTATAAAGTCAAAACATTATGAGTATCTGACTTTTGCTTTTGGGACATTCAGTCAGGAACACTGCAAGCAAGTTTGCAATTGGTCATTGAATGTGGGCATGGAAACAAGGGGTACCAAAAGATCTTTAAGTACCCAATTTGAATTATAAAATGACAAAAAACGGAACAAGCATTTTTTCTTCCTGGACATCCAGTGAAAAAGTGCTCCTCAAGATTTTGCCCTCAGGGCTTTTTATTTTCTATTGTCTGATTGGTTAGTTACCCATACCTGATGGGAAAGGGTTGGATAGGAACATTCCAGAACTCAGAAGAACAAAGGAACAAAGAGACAGGGAAGAAATCAAGAAGAAATAAAAATATACACAAAAATGAAATATGTATAATCTATGGCATACTCAGGGCCAGATCATCGCATAGACAAATGAGACAAATGTCTAGTGCCCGGCTTTTAGAAGGGCCCTGTCAAACTGTCTATTTTGAAAAGATTTGTAAATAAGATAGTTTACTTTTCTGTTGGACAACAGTATATAATAAACAAATAAACAAAAATATATTGCTTTTTATATGGTTATTGTGAATTCTAAAATCCTAAAGAAAATGTACGTTGGTTGTTCAAAAAGTTCCCGAACTTTTTGAATAGCGTGCCTCCAGTTGGTTATTTTTTAATTCACTTGGAGGTGTTGTGTCCGTGGAAACCTCCTGAGTAACTTCCTTCAACCCGTTTGTTGATATCTTGTTTTGGTGATTAGTTATGGCCGTTTATGTGAAATGGTGTTTGTGGGGTTTGGCGAAAAATCGGATCTGTGGAAATCAGCTCTTTGAAAGAACAGTGTTGTTTTTTGAAATTCTGTGTGAAACTCTGAAAATTTTTCACGGAAACTTCCCGCGGGTGGGTGAAACAGCCCCCACCCCAAAAAGCTTGACAAGTTCGCTCAAATGTTAAGGTGATGTTGACTGTTTTTTTTCGATGCAAAGGGGGTTGTGCATCATGAATACCTACCTACAGGCCAGACAGTCAACACGGAGTATTATCTGGTGTTATGAATTGCCTAAGGACAAAATCAGGTGAAAACAGCCCGAACTTTGGAGGAGCAGCAAGTGGTTCTTTCACCACAATAACACGCCGGCTCATTTGTCCCTCAGAACACATGAGTTTTTGGCCAAAAACAAGACCGCTGTGCTTCCCCACCCACCCTACTTACCTGACCTGGTCTCATGCGACTTTTTCCTGTTCTCCAACAAACTAAAAAACATGCTCAAAGGAAAAAGATTTGCCACCATTCCAGAGATAGAAAAAAAAAAAGGAGGAGGAGTTTATGAGCATTACGGAAAAAGTGTTCCAGGACTGTTTCAAAAAGTGGAAGTATATATGCTGTGGAGGAAACTACTTTGAAGGGGATCCCAACAAATAAATTGTATGTGAAGTATTTTTTTTTTTTTGTAATAAATAAAGTTCAGGAACTTTTTGAACAACCCTTATATTCTTATGTTTCTTCTTATTGAAAGTAAAACTCCCAATAATTTAGAATATTCTTTATAGCAATAAAAATAATATTAACTATATGTATTCTTAAATCCTGTGAATTATTGTTAAATAATTTTGCTTTTATGTTTTATAAAGTAGCTGTCCATATGCAATTTAATAGAAATAATAGTAACAAGATTTATTAATTGAAAGAGCCGGGAGAGGACCCGGAAGAAGAAAATGTCTAGGGTCCCAAAGTGGATTAATCCGGCTCTGGGCATACTGCCACAATAGTATATAACAATTGTTGCCAGATGTTCATACCATCCAAACTCAATTTAAAGGAGTTTTTATAGTATAGAAATTAGTCCAAATTCAAAGTGTATTTGGACTAATTTTAAGAGACAAAAATTGAACTCACATGGGCATGAAATACCCTAGCAGTGGCATTGCATTCAGTAGAGGAATACATTTTAAGTTTTACTTTCCTAGCTCTGTTATGCATAATAGAGGAAAAGTATGGCAATTGGTCAAAAAATGACCCCTCCCCAAGACTTTTACATCTTTGGACTTGAGGCCTTGAAACATCAAGAAATGCAAAAAATTTGGGGGGTTTTTCTGTATGTATGGATGTTAGTGTGTGTGGGTCATGACTTTATTTACCCTCTTTTAAACTTAATAACTCTTGTGCTTTTTGTCAAAAGTTTCCAAAATTTTGCAAGAAGGTTTGTGTATTAGGGAGATTGATGCTATTAAATTTTGGTGATTAATGGTTGACAGGATGGGGAGATAGAGGGGGTTTGTGTGTTGTATCTCGAGTAGAATCTGACTTAATGATGATTTTACTACTTATTAGCATTTACAATTTTTTTATAAACCTTATCTCTAACTGAAAATTGAGCTTTTTGTCGTTTTATAATTAATAATATATGAATATTTTATTTAAACTTTTTAACAGATGGCACCACACACAATTTTAACTTATCAAACATCTTTACCTACCTGATATGATTAAAGCTATCCATCTACCAAAGCCGTATATTATCGGGCTAGAAACGGCTATAATACTAATAATTTAATAGACAATTTGGCATTAGAGTTAGGCGTTAGGTGCTATCTCTTGATAAATTTAATAATTATAAATTAATTAAATAATTTAAATAATAATTTAGAATTACTGGAAGAAAAGAATCGGCCCAAAGCAGGACTCTAACTTACAACTCCTGCTTACTGTGCAGATGCATTGCCGATTATGCTACCTGGACCTTCGGTCTGATCTCCTCTTCCAGCATATATAAGCTAATGATATAACCATTAACAGTTATTACAATGCGTAATTGGCAATGCATCTGCACAGTAAGCAGGAGTTGCGGGTTTGAGTCCTGCTTCAGGCTGATTCTTTTCTTCCAGTAATTCTAAATTATTATTTAAATTATTTAATTAATTTATAATTATTAAATTTATCAAGAGATGGCACCTAACGCCTAACTCTAATGCCAAATTGTCTATTAAATTATTAGTATTATAGCCGTTTCTAGCCTGATAATATACGGCTTTGGTAGATGGACAATTTTAGCTTTATTAGTGGGAAAGTTAAGTAACTCATTGCTGGATTTTTTCAAATGGTTTATCAAAATAATGTAATTTATTATTTAACAATTACAAAATAAATTTAATTTCTTCTTATCATAATTGTTTAGCAATTTATTTAGTAATTTTAGTTTATCAAATTTATTTGTCATATTATAATTTATTCTGTTATTGATAATTTTTTATTAATTTTTATTAGTCATTACAATCAGATTTAGATGAAGGTTTGGATAAATTAAGGCAAATTACTAGATATGGTGAAATAGCAAAAGGAAGTTTTGTTGAAGAATCAGAAAAGGCAATGATAGATGAAGAAATGGCCAAATTGCAAGAAGAATATGAAGAATTCAAGGAAAATGTTAATAATATCAAATCTGCCTTAGATGTGAGTGCAGCAAAATGGAATGAATATGATGAACAATTTTCAAAATGCTCAGGTCTTCTGGATGAAATGGAAGCTAAAGTTCAGTCCTGTCGAATACTTCAAGCAGATCTGAATGGAAAACGAACAAAATTAGAAGAATTTCAGGTAAGAATTGTATATCATTTTTAGTATAATATATGGCATTTTATGATATTTATTAGAAAATTAATAAATTTTGCAAACATAAGCATTTTTTATTAGCATACATTCAGCTGGCATTCTTACATTTTACAAACTATTTTGGAAATATAAAAAAAATAAAAGTAAGAACTATTTCTCAATGAAGAAATGCATATAAATGACTTTAAAAATTAGTATGTTTAATAAATTTAACATTTTTTTGGAACTATAATGCTTATGTATTTAAAACATCCGTGCAACACTGTTTTGTATGGATACCAAAAAGCCTTTAATAAAAATGTTTTTAGTTCCAGTTGAGCCATCTTCAGTTTTTGTATTATATTAATTTATTGATTTGAATAATAATTATCATAAATTAATTGTCAAGTATTTTTGATGTGCATCACTGATATTGCAAAATTATGACAAAATTTGATGATTTTAACATTTATACTGTCAAATTGATATCAAAGATTTGAATTAATTTGTCATAAATTTAACTATCAGATCATTAACAAAATAAATAAAACAAGAAAGGATGCATAAATATATTATGTATATGATTATAATCAAGATATCGTCTTATATCATTTTTTTATTTTTTCTACTTGTCAGATGACATGTTGAGACGTGACTATACATTAAAAATAAATTTAAACCTTAAAATGTTTTGGAAATGTATTAATATAATTGTATCTTTTTAGGGCCATTTACAAACAATTTTTGATTGGCAAGGAGAATTTGACATTCTAAATATTAAAGCACAAATGCTATTAGAGACATATTCAGATTCAAGTATTTCAAATGCATTTACTCAACTTTCTGCAAGATATAATGCTCTGCTTTCTGTGGCCAAAGAAACAATGCATCGTTTAGAACAACACTTCCAAGAACATCAGCAACAGCAGTGTATGCTTGGTGAATGCGTCAAAATAATAGAATCATCTCGTGAACGACTGAATGAATGCAAGCTTTCTGAAGATATCGATGATTTGAATGCTAAACTTAATACTATAAAAACTCTTGCTGGAAATATGGAGCAAGTCCAAAATAAAGTGAGATATACTCTTGAACTAACAGATAAAGTTATACTTAATACTGATTCATCCGGAGTAATCAATATAAAAGAAGATGCAGAAAAACTTAAAAATGATTTTGATACTTTAGTTCAAGATATATCAAACATTAGATCACAGATAACAAATAAGATAAGTGAATTAGGTGAATTTTATAAAATATTAAAACAATTTCAAGCATGGATGCAAGAAATTGAAGATGAAATCAATACATGCAATAAAAAAGAAACTTCTGTTTTACCAGAAAAGAAACTGCTATTAGAAAAATATCGAAATATCATGAAAGATATGGAAAATCACGAAAAATCATATCTTCGTCTTGAATCAGATTTCAAAGAAGGTATCCACAAAAATCCTGAAATAATTGATTTAACTCAAAAATATAATGATTTGTTAAATACCGTAAAAGGTAAAATTGTATCTCTTGAAGAAGAAGTTAAAAAATGTGAACAATATAAAGTTTCTCAGGCAGAAGCAGAAAATTGGTTGCGAGATACTAAATTAAAATTACAGAAATGTAGCGAATGTGTAGGAGAAAAACAAATTGTACAAAGCAGATTGAATGAGTATAACAAAATTGAAAAAACTCTTTCAGCTGGACATGGTCTTGTTCAGAAAGCTTTAAGTTTAGGAAATGAAATTAAAGGCGTGATATCTGGACAAGGTGAAGAACAACTGTCTCAAGAACTTGAACAGTTGAACTTGTTATGGGAGAAAGTACAGTCTCTTTCTAAAGAAGTAGCAAAATTGTTAGACAATTGTTTACATTGCTGGACAGAATTTGAAGCAGTATATTGTAAAATGCAAGAATGGCTTTCTAGATTTGAAATGATTGTCAAGAAGGCACTTGACTCACCACCCACTCAAGGCGAAGAATTTAAACACCTTGAAAACCTACAAGTAAGTAATATGATAATTATGTATTTATAATTAAGAACTATTGCTTAAAATCAGTTTGTTAACTTATTAAAGTTTAATGCAAATAAATATGAAATTTATTTTTCTACCTTAAATAATTTAAAATATATCCAAAATTCAATTATTTTTTAAGTAATAAATTTTTACACAGTCGTTATTGGAAGAAGCGAATACAAATAAATCGAAAATGGAAGAAGTTAATGAACTCTGTGAAACTCTCATAGAAGTAACTTCATATACGGCAGTGCGTGATAAAACTATAAATCTTTCCAATCGATATTCTTTGATTGTAACAAATTTGAATGTAAGTTTAACTTTACTATTATAGTAAATTAGATTTTTAAAAATTTTCAAGATCTGTATTATAAAAGTATTTTTAAACTGAAATTTATTTGTTGAATTTTTATAATTAACTATTTAATATTATTTATATTTTTAGGAAGCATTATCAAAATTGCAAAAAGTATTAAGCAATCAAAATGAATTTACTAAAGCAAAGGAAGAATATATGCAATGGTTTGAACCAAATAAGGTTAGATGGGAACAAAACAAAGATCATAAAGTGGACCAGACTAAACTTACTGAAAGGCTTCAAATTCTTAAGGTTTTAAAACTTTTGTTAATTCTTTGATAAAATTTATTTGTTATAGTTTATCCTTTCATGAAAACATATCTATTTTTATTTTATGTATCAAAAAAATTATATAATTCCTTTAATATATGATAACTTTTTATGTTTTAATTTATATAAAAGAAAATTTAAATTAATAAAAAGTATTATTCTGGAAATAATCAAATCATTTATTAGTGATAAGATAAGAAACTTGTTATAAGGGGAAAGATTCATAGTACAGTACATAAATCAGTTAATAAAATTGACACTGACATGCAGAAAAACACCTTATTACTCCAGCAATGTTTAATAGAAATTACAAATGTTTTTGGGCTGCATTGAGAGGCCTTTCTCAAGTAAAAAAAAGCCATTTCATAGATTTACTTTATGAGACGAGGAACACTCAAAAACATTTGTAATTTCTATAAAACATTGCTGGAAGGTATGTAAGGTGTTTTTTGCATGTCAATGCCAATTGTGAACTGTTCAAGTATATTGGTTAATTAAATCAGTTTACAAAATGTTAATGTGATGATGATTTATCTTCAAAACAATATAGAGTTATCTGACATAAGTTTTCTTAGTATAATTTTTTGGCAAATAAAGAGACTAATTTTTACTATTGATTTGTTCTCTAACAATAGACTTAAAAAAGTTATTTAAATTATACGTTTGATATCTTGATAAGTCACTTAATTTCAGTCAAAAATTTTAAGATACATTAAATTGAAATATTTCAAGTATTTTATATTTCTCTTCTTCCCTAGAGAATTTTACACAGTCTTTCAATAAGTATATTGCTGAAAAATCCTTTTAGTTAAACCAATAACAATGGTCTGTAGAAAAAAGCAATATAAATATTACCTATATATAATGAATATTTATTCAGTTTTAACTAAATTAAAAATCTCTACATTTATTCCAATGTTCGTTAGTAGATAATTAGCTTTTGAGGGATTTTTAGAATATTAATATACCATGGATGATAAACCAATTGAAATAAAGAATTTTAGTCCTATATAATACATTGAGAGAATGCAATTTTCATTAATAAAATAATATTCTTGCTTCTAGTCATCAATCAAGTTTTGAAACAGCTCATATGTAACTCCAATGAATTGTAGGATGTTGTTAAATTTTGTCCTCCAAAGATTTTTATCTATTGATACTTTATCACATTGTTTTATCATTACTGATGAAGAAATTCTATATTTAAATCATTACTTTGTTTTAGTCTGTAATAAAGCCTAGTCTCTTTAAATTAAAAGGAAAATTTTTAAATAGAAGTGAAGCAACTAAAATAAAATTCACTTGAACTAATGTGACCATTGAGCAGTATAGCCAAAAAATGTCTGTTATTGGTACATAATGCATCACATGATCTAATCACAATGATTTCTGATTGTTGTTTTGGATATCAAGTATAAGATACCATCAATTGTAAGATGGTTTCTTATACTTGTACAGGAATAAAAATAGGTAAAAAAAGTGCATCTTAGAATTGAAGAAATCTATATATGAACTTAACAATACTAAATGTTCAAAAATTTCTGAACTATTCGTAAAGTAATAATTCTGAATAATAATGAGTTTCGGAATTTTTAATAAATTTGAAACTTTTCTATCATATTTTTGCAAATTATTAGAATAAATTATTATATAATGTTCCATATGTTATTTTTTAGGATATTTCTTCATCTCTTTCAATTGGTCAACATCTTATGACAGTTGCATGTGAAGCTGGAGCTAGAACACTTGGCATACTACCTGAAAATGTCCAAGTTAGCGTACGATTAGACATGGAAAATATGAGAAATGAATTTGCCACTTTCAGTGAACAGATTAGTGAAGCAATATGTCTGTTTACATCAATATGTAATAGACTACAAGAATTTACACGTAACAGTAAAACGTTTAAGGATTGGTTAAATGATATTGAAAAAAAGTTGAAAAACAATTTGTTTACTAAAGGAGATATGATAGAAATTCGAACACTGAGAGAACATTATAAGGTAAATAATTTAATTTCCTAATTAACTAATTGGTTTCTAGAAAATCATTTGTTAAGCAAGTTTTCCCAATTCCTATTAAGTTCACTGTCATAAATTGAAATTACATTTGAGGAAATATAGTTTGAAAGGGAACAATATACACAGAGGTGGCCAAACAAAAAATATGGCATTTCATTGTCATAATAGTCTTTTATAACTAATGTAATATAAATATTCTATTATAACAAGCAAAGAATTGTAGTGGACTTCCATTTTAATTATGTGTACAGTTTTTGAGCCACTTTTGACCTTTTCCATCTCTGTTTTGTACAATGATGTAATTTTAGCAAATCCCTTTCTCTTTAATTACATGTGCAATACAATAGTTCATGGACCTTCCCCTCATGTTGAAGAAATGACTTAAGAAAAAAGTTCTGTAAACATTTTCTAACTGATAGTTTATTCATATGACTAATGAGTAGGCTATAAGAAGAAATTCGTATACTAATAAAAATTTCCACACTACAATGTTTCAACTCCATCCCCTTTCCAAACAGTCCAAAGCAGAATTATATGCAAAGATGACTTTTCCTTTTCCTAATCTTACATGTGACATTTTCTATAAGTCTGTCCATATTCAATACAGATTGCTACAGTATTTGTTAGAATACAGATGTCAAACAGCAGAAAAATTACTCTTTCTGTTTAAATGTAATACTTTTACTTAATAACATATACTTGCAGTTTACATATGTTAAACTGCTTTTATTTTATTTTATAATCTTAGTTGAAGTTTTATTTTTATAAATCGCATTTTATATGATTACTGTAGAATTTACTAAATTAAAAGTTACAATAACCGATAGTAATTAAAAAAAGTAGTGAACTCCATATTTTTTTGTGTATTTTAAAAACTTATTTAGGTCAATTATTTAATTTTTTATGTTTAATATTCTAAATTTTAATTTTGAAAATAAATTATTTTTAATATAAAACATAATTAAATACATAAAATTGCTTTTATAATCAATGCTAGTTTGATTTTATAGTAGTAAAATTGTTTAAATTTAAAAATATGTAAAAATAACTATAAAACAAAGTTGTGTATAAATTTCATATAACTTTAGATTATCATCAATAGAATAAAAATAAATAAATTTATTATTTAGATGAGAAAAATTAAATGATATTTTACTTTTTTAAGCAAATTGAATCAGATATTCAACAACACAAACCACTTTTGGCTGAATTAAAGAACGAGGCTAATGAACTTCTTCAGAAAATAGATGAAGATAAAATGAGTGAAGAGTTATGTGAATTTTCCGAGAGGTTGTCAGCGGATGAATACCGTTGTAAAGTATGTAAAAATTTTCTGTTACAAAAATAATTCTTTAGATAAACAGTATTAAAAATAATTATTTAATTATAATAATTATATAAATGATAATTGCAATTTCTTTAAGATCTTTTCTTTGTTATATTGCTTAAGGCATTAATAAATAACAATGATAATTTTATAATATATTTAATATGTTATAAGCCTATTCATTAGTCATATGTAACTAAATAGTTTTTGTAATGATAATTTTAATTCATTTCAGGAACTTCTTAGCCAGTTAGAATATGAAATGAAAAATATTCAAAATTATCAACAATCACTACAAGAAACTGAAAAATGGCTTCTTCAAATGTCGTTTCATTTAATGTCTCATCATTCACAGCAGATAAACAATTTGGCTCAAACTCAGGACGAAATTCAAAAACATGGGGTAACATTTTACTATTTATAAATAGAAGAGAAATTTGCTTATCAGAATTATTATATTTTTATTTTTGTTTTTTATTCTTTGTTTCTCATTTTATTAAACATTTATAATAACTACAATAGTTTGTGCAAACAGTTAACATTAGATATACAGTAGTTTAAAATAATAATCATTTATTGCAAATATTTTGAAACTACAGTACTGAGAAATATTTTCAGATGTACAAAAAACAAGCTACTAACCACAATGTTTAAAGTTGATCAGAAAGTAAATTTACTATTCTTATAAATCAAATGCAAGATTTTAAACTAACAATACAAATCAAGAAGCTATTTATAAATTAGTTTTTGACATAATCAGATATAAAAACATTAAAATTTTGGGATGCTGAATTCAGACTGTTTGGGAATTATTTTATTGCTTTCCAACAGAACTATTAGAATAAGTTGTAAGATTGTCATGCTCTTTATGCTTAAGCATTATTACAACAACAATCCCACTGATACTATAAAAGCTAAGTATTTTCTCTATTCAGAAAAACTATATAAGTCTTAATTCCTCAATCTTCCATGCAGGACTAATTTTGCATTCAGTTTACCATGATAAACTATTGCATTGGTCTTCTTTTTCCATGTATGCATTGAATCACTGTTGTAGTTGTTTAATTGTTAACACTACAGTTTCTATGTCAGCAGCTTTTGAAAATTTCAACCAGTTTGACATGTTAAACAATATGTTAAACTTGTTAAACAACATGTTAAACTTGTAAACTTATTTACTGATCTACTTAAGTAATCCTTAATATATTTCAATGCTTTGTTTTTTAACAGTATGATGATCTACCTATTGATATTTGCTATTTTTATTTAACAAAAACTTGGTAATAAATTATTAATATTTTAAATTATTTATTGTGACATTGTCAAAGTGCTCTCAATTTTAGTAGTGTCTTGCTTATGTACATCATATTTTTCCTGTTAATAATAGAGTCAAGCCATAACTGTGTTCAGGAGAAAATTTTTGAAATGAAATGATGTGACTTCCAGTCCAAACCAGAAGTCACATTTTTATAGTTAAACTGCCTCCTGCCTCTAAACTTTTTGTATCTGGTCTTGACTCTCATCTATCCAATTCCGTTCTTGAGATTAAGAAAGGACAGACGGATGGACACCAGTGGCCGCAATTTTTGAAAATTAGAGCCCAATTAAATTAAATTGAAACATTGGTTATTAATACATAAACTATTGTATTTATCATTTTTGTAATATTTTAAAATAAATTTTTAATTTTACTTACATTATTTATTAATACGTTTATTTAATTACAATTTTATTTTATTTATAGGCAATTTTGAATGAAATTCAGCAATATCAAAAAGTAATAGACAATGTTAAAGATAAAGGATATCATTTAATTAATAATTATAAAGACCAAGCACCTGAAATAGAAGATCAAATTAAACAACAGTTAGCAAATATTCAAGATAGTTATGATTCATTATTAACAAGTGCTGAACAAATCAAAGTATGATTTTTTTTTATTAAATTACAATATTATATTAAATATTTTAGTTTTTATTATAAATTAAATTGTTATATATTTTTGGTAGAATTTAATCTGTTGATTCAATATTCCTGTAAACAAAACTGTTACTCAGGATAAATTTCTTTATTAAGTTGAAGATTTCATTGTAAACATTATAAACCATTAGATTGAAATCGCAAACTTGTTTTAATTTTTCCAAAACTGTTGCTTTCAGCCAAAAGGATTTTTATAAATATTATAAGAAAACTTATTAAAAGACAAAAATCTTGTGTATTTTCTTAAATTTTTGACTACATTTATATGTCAACTTGTGAAAGATTTTCATTTTACAATGAGTTTTGGACAAAATACAAATAGAAATATTATTATATTCTGAAAAATATATAGTTAGTTTCATTCAAAAGAAATGTTTTTTGCTATATATTTGTATCGGCATTTGATTTAAATTTTAGTAAAATGCCACTCTACATTACAACAGTGGTCATGAAATTGTATTACCTATGATTTATATAAAAAAGTTTTCATTAAATTTAAGCCATGATCATGATTTGTAATAACAACATATGTAGTACAGAGAAGAAACCAAGAAGAATAAATAAAAAACATGCAATTTATTATATATGATACTACATTGAAAGTGTTATTTCACATGATACTCTCCTCAATACTGTTAATGAACACTGTTGCAAGAACTTTCCATTCACAGTTATGAAAGCAAAAAGATTTCACGAATGATGAATAATGATTCATAAAATGATTAATATTCTGTAAGAAAACAATTAAAAGTTTTTTTATATATTGAGAATTTGTACTCAGATTCAGTGGCACCTATACACTATAAAAATGGAAGCTAACTTGACCTTGAAAACAAGACGCATTCCTTATATTCAAGGCCACGTTTTGGTCAACATATGATGAATTTGCATGGGATAATGGACAAAAATTGTTTGTTAGTTTCTTTTATATTTGCAAAGTAGTCTAGAAATCATGAATTTTCTGTTGATAACAGAATTTGGAGACACCCTGAGGATTAGGTAAATGGCGACTGAGACAAAAAGAGGGGCATATGACCAAAATATCCCAAAGTACGGATGCCCCTGCTCAGATTTTTGTCCTAAAGTCAGACATAGTTGATCCTTATGAAAAATATTTTCTAGTCATATTGTTCTATAATACTTTATTTTGGAATAAAATAAATTAAATTATATTTCTTTAATTGATAATTGATTTCACACATTTATTTGTAAATGTGTGAAATCAATTAAGATATAAATAGATTTCTATTTAAATCTTAACTAGGTTTTAATCAAAAGTTTATTCTAAACCAATTATTATAACTATATACTAAACTTATTTTCAATCTTTTTTATTTAACAGGCACAATTGGAAGATGCATTAAGAAAATTTATGAATTATGAAGAAACTATGAATAATTGTAGTAGACTTCTTACAAATGTAGAACCTCAGCTTACTTCAGATATAAACTACAAAATGCTTTCTATAGAAAGTGTTAAAGATAAATTGGATTCTACAAAAGTAAGCATTATTTTACTCTTGTATCAGAATCAGTTTTCTTTTTTATTCTGAATCAGTTAATGTTTCAAATATTTCAAAATGTTTTATTAATATAAATTTAATTGTTCATATCCTGTTATATAATTTTGTATGTTTTCTTTAATATATGTAAATAACTTTCAGACAAGTTGGACTTATTTATTTACTTTAATAAATAAAGATAGAAATTGTAAATTTCAGTTTACAATTTAATAAAAATTAAAGTATATATTTAAAGTATAATAAAGTTTAATAAAAATTTAAAACTTAAAATATTATTTTAAAATGATAATTTGCTAGTATAAATTTTGAATTTTATATGATTAACATTTAATTCTTATTGAAGAATTATTTTTAAGGTTCTCTAGAATTTTCCAAAATTTCAAATAATAATAAATCAAATTCTATACTTTAAAACTTTCAAACTTTAATGTAACTGATATAATGGAAAATTGGTGATACAATTGTTTATTATATCTTTGTTTAGTAATATCATTTGTTTCAATTTCTCTTTTTTTGTGTTTTTTAATCCAAATCAGGAAATGGCTGGAAGACAGTTTAAGTGTATATTTACTGTTTTGAGGGAACCAAATTCAAATCTGAGATCAGATATTTTAAGGTAGTCAGACACATCCCTCACTACTGATTAATTACTCTGTTATGGGCTGGATTAAAAAGATTATTTTTTTATTATCCAAAAAGCAAAAAGAATTAAAAAAAAAAAAAAATTCAAGTCAGGATTTAACCATGATTTTTTTTTTGTATTACTTAGCTTTTTGTTCTACTCACACTAATTAATATTGGAGTGGAAATATAGCACTAAACCTTCTTTGAAGTACTTTCTAAACAATTCTCCAGTAGCGTATTATTTTGATAACGACTAACGTTTTCAATCCTCAGCTGGATCTTCTTCAGGTCGAACATAAATGTTGCATTTTAAAAAATGTTTTTTTTTTTAATCGAATACGTCTCTAGGTTAAATTAGTTGCATGATGTCATTATTATAAAGTGGGATACAAGATATTATAGCCATTTCAAATCATTATTTCTTTAAACTTTTAAAAAAATTTAAATTTTGATGTTATTAAAGGGCCCAGATGTGATTTAAAGTAGTATGTGCCATGCTTAGGATAAACATGTTTCATCTTTAAAGTTAATGGTTCTCCCTTGTTTTTTGGCTTTATAAATTTTCAGTGATTCTAAGGTCCTAATGGCAGCATTCTGTAGATTGGCCTGGATGTTGCTGTCTGAGGCATAAATAGCCAAGATAGTGGTGAGCTTGTGGCTGATATCATAACTATGTTCAGCCAATCTCTTTTGTAAACAGCATGTTGTAAACAGCTATGTACTCCAATTCCCTTTGGCTTCTATGGTCTGTCACTGGAATATGATATACCCCGGTAAATGGAGTTGATAGGCTGCATCTTTGCCATTGTGTATAGTAGAGTATAGTAAGTTGTATATAGTAGAGTTGCATACATGTGTTATTTTGGCATTCTTATACTCTGCTATCTCTTTATATATGTTCTTCATCATATGATTATACTTCAACTACTATATGGCATGTATTGATATCTTGCCCACTATTTTCATTATCCCTTCTGTTGTTATTTTTGTTATATGTTTTGGCCAATTTTTGAATAAGGCTTGTTTTGTAGCCATGTTTGGTTGCAGAAAACTCCAGGTGATGTAGCTCCCTCAATGTGTCTTTATGGTAAGTGCAGTATATGAAAGCCCACTTTACACAAATATGGATCACAGGAGGATACTGGTATAAATACTGGCAGATGGTCTGGTTTATAATAAATTTTCATATAGTTGTTGCCCTCTTGAATGAATAACTGTAGATCTAAGAAGTAGGCCTGTGTATCGCTGGATTAGTCCAGTTTGAGTCTCAAGCCAAATGGGTTGTTGTTCATGGCATCTACAAAGGCTTCTATGTTCAATTTTTTTAGTTTTTGAAATGATCAAAATGTTATCCATGTATCTTTTGTAAATGTGGAAGTGAGTAAGGAATCCCTAGATTTAAGATAATACTGTTAGTTCCAATATATGTACCACCATTTCACAGAGATCCCCAGATATTGGACTGCCCATGGGTACTCCTCTTTTTTGTACATGTGGTGTTGTTATATTGGAAGGAGGAGTAACAGATCGTGTGCTAGATTTAAGATATGTTAGTGGTGTGTAGGTTCAATAGCAGTTTTAAACAGCCAATCTCTCAGTGCACAAAAGCACAGTTGTAGTTTGATAGATGGGTAGAGGGATACGAAATCCAGAACTGTTATGTATGTGTCTTTATGTATTATAGTCTGTATTATTCCTTCCACTAATTCCCTCGACTTATATATTGTAAACCGATAATTTTGTAGATGTTCTTTAAGCTGATTATGTAAAAAGTTTTTGAATATGCATGCGGGACATCTTGCTTTATCAACAATAAATCTTAGATTGGTGCCCGGTTTATGGGTCCTAGCGAATGCAAATAGTTTGGGGATGTTTGGTGATGAGATCCCCAAACTATTTATATTGTATAAGTTTAGTAGGTTGATTTAGTACATAAAATAAAAAATAATTAAATGACTTGTATATCAATAGATAAATTGCATAATGATTCAATGTTTTATTTATTACAAATAGGATATTTTGAGTAAATTAAACACAGCCAAGCAGCAATTAGAAACAGCCATTCAAGGTTTTGCAGAAGCAACTTCATCAATAAGTCGACCAACAACTCCGGATGATGGTCTAGATACAAAACTTAATGAAAGGGAGTTACAAATCAATGTTCAACTTCATGATTTCATAGAACAAGTAAGTTAATTTAATTTTAAAATAATAAATATAGAACACTATTAGAGCAAAATTGTATATTCAATATTTTTAATATTAAGGCTTAAAGNAATAAAAATAAATAAATTTATTATTTAGATGAGAAAAATTAAATGATATTTTACTTTTTTAAGCAAATTGAATCAGATATTCAACAACACAAACCACTTTTGGCTGAATTAAAGAACGAGGCTAATGAACTTCTTCAGAAAATAGATGAAGATAAAATGAGTGAAGAGTTATGTGAATTTTCCGAGAGGTTGTCAGCGGATGAATACCGTTGTAAAGTATGTAAAAATTTTCTGTTACAAAAATAATTCTTTAGATAAACAGTATTAAAAATAATTATTTAATTATAATAATTATATAAATGATAATTGCAATTTCTTTAAGATCTTTTCTTTGTTATATTGCTTAAGGCATTAATAAATAACAATGATAATTTTATAATATATTTAATATGTTATAAGCCTATTCATTAGTCATATGTAACTAAATAGTTTTTGTAATGATAATTTTAATTCATTTCAGGAACTTCTTAGCCAGTTAGAATATGAAATGAAAAATATTCAAAATTATCAACAATCACTACAAGAAACTGAAAAATGGCTTCTTCAAATGTCGTTTCATTTAATGTCTCATCATTCACAGCAGATAAACAATTTGGCTCAAACTCAGGACGAAATTCAAAAACATGGGGTAACATTTTACTATTTATAAATAGAAGAGAAATTTGCTTATCAGAATTATTATATTTTTATTTTTGTTTTTTATTCTTTGTTTCTCATTTTATTAAACATTTATAATAACTACAATAGTTTGTGCAAACAGTTAACATTAGATATACAGTAGTTTAAAATAATAATCATTTATTGCAAATATTTTGAAACTACAGTACTGAGAAATATTTTCAGATGTACAAAAAACAAGCTACTAACCACAATGTTTAAAGTTGATCAGAAAGTAAATTTACTATTCTTATAAATCAAATGCAAGATTTTAAACTAACAATACAAATCAAGAAGCTATTTATAAATTAGTTTTTGACATAATCAGATATAAAAACATTAAAATTTTGGGATGCTGAATTCAGACTGTTTGGGAATTATTTTATTGCTTTCCAACAGAACTATTAGAATAAGTTGTAAGATTGTCATGCTCTTTATGCTTAAGCATTATTACAACAACAATCCCACTGATACTATAAAAGCTAAGTATTTTCTCTATTCAGAAAAACTATATAAGTCTTAATTCCTCAATCTTCCATGCAGGACTAATTTTGCATTCAGTTTACCATGATAAACTATTGCATTGGTCTTCTTTTTCCATGTATGCATTGAATCACTGTTGTAGTTGTTTAATTGTTAACACTACAGTTTCTATGTCAGCAGCTTTTGAAAATTTCAACCAGTTTGACATGTTAAACAATATGTTAAACTTGTTAAACAACATGTTAAACTTGTAAACTTATTTACTGATCTACTTAAGTAATCCTTAATATATTTCAATGCTTTGTTTTTTAACAGTATGATGATCTACCTATTGATATTTGCTATTTTTATTTAACAAAAACTTGGTAATAAATTATTAATATTTTAAATTATTTATTGTGACATTGTCAAAGTGCTCTCAATTTTAGTAGTGTCTTGCTTATGTACATCATATTTTTCCTGTTAATAATAGAGTCAAGCCATAACTGTGTTCAGGAGAAAATTTTTGAAATGAAATGATGTGACTTCCAGTCCAAACCAGAAGTCACATTTTTATAGTTAAACTGCCTCCTGCCTCTAAACTTTTTGTATCTGGTCTTGACTCTCATCTATCCAATTCCGTTCTTGAGATTAAGAAAGGACAGACGGATGGACACCAGTGGCCGCAATTTTTGAAAATTAGAGCCCAATTAAATTAAATTGAAACATTGGTTATTAATACATAAACTATTGTATTTATCATTTTTGTAATATTTTAAAATAAATTTTTAATTTTACTTACATTATTTATTAATACGTTTATTTAATTACAATTTTATTTTATTTATAGGCAATTTTGAATGAAATTCAGCAATATCAAAAAGTAATAGACAATGTTAAAGATAAAGGATATCATTTAATTAATAATTATAAAGACCAAGCACCTGAAATAGAAGATCAAATTAAACAACAGTTAGCAAATATTCAAGATAGTTATGATTCATTATTAACAAGTGCTGAACAAATCAAAGTATGATTTTTTTTTATTAAATTACAATATTATATTAAATATTTTAGTTTTTATTATAAATTAAATTGTTATATATTTTTGGTAGAATTTAATCTGTTGATTCAATATTCCTGTAAACAAAACTGTTACTCAGGATAAATTTCTTTATTAAGTTGAAGATTTCATTGTAAACATTATAAACCATTAGATTGAAATCGCAAACTTGTTTTAATTTTTCCAAAACTGTTGCTTTCAGCCAAAAGGATTTTTATAAATATTATAAGAAAACTTATTAAAAGACAAAAATCTTGTGTATTTTCTTAAATTTTTGACTACATTTATATGTCAACTTGTGAAAGATTTTCATTTTACAATGAGTTTTGGACAAAATACAAATAGAAATATTATTATATTCTGAAAAATATATAGTTAGTTTCATTCAAAAGAAATGTTTTTTGCTATATATTTGTATCGGCATTTGATTTAAATTTTAGTAAAATGCCACTCTACATTACAACAGTGGTCATGAAATTGTATTACCTATGATTTATATAAAAAAGTTTTCATTAAATTTAAGCCATGATCATGATTTGTAATAACAACATATGTAGTACAGAGAAGAAACCAAGAAGAATAAATAAAAAACATGCAATTTATTATATATGATACTACATTGAAAGTGTTATTTCACATGATACTCTCCTCAATACTGTTAATGAACACTGTTGCAAGAACTTTCCATTCACAGTTATGAAAGCAAAAAGATTTCACGAATGATGAATAATGATTCATAAAATGATTAATATTCTGTAAGAAAACAATTAAAAGTTTTTTTATATATTGAGAATTTGTACTCAGATTCAGTGGCACCTATACACTATAAAAATGGAAGCTAACTTGACCTTGAAAACAAGACGCATTCCTTATATTCAAGGCCACGTTTTGGTCAACATATGATGAATTTGCATGGGATAATGGACAAAAATTGTTTGTTAGTTTCTTTTATATTTGCAAAGTAGTCTAGAAATCATGAATTTTCTGTTGATAACAGAATTTGGAGACACCCTGAGGATTAGGTAAATGGCGACTGAGACAAAAAGAGGGGCATATGACCAAAATATCCCAAAGTACGGATGCCCCTGCTCAGATTTTTGTCCTAAAGTCAGACATAGTTGATCCTTATGAAAAATATTTTCTAGTCATATTGTTCTATAATACTTTATTTTGGAATAAAATAAATTAAATTATATTTCTTTAATTGATAATTGATTTCACACATTTATTTGTAAATGTGTGAAATCAATTAAGATATAAATAGATTTCTATTTAAATCTTAACTAGGTTTTAATCAAAAGTTTATTCTAAACCAATTATTATAACTATATACTAAACTTATTTTCAATCTTTTTTATTTAACAGGCACAATTGGAAGATGCATTAAGAAAATTTATGAATTATGAAGAAACTATGAATAATTGTAGTAGACTTCTTACAAATGTAGAACCTCAGCTTACTTCAGATATAAACTACAAAATGCTTTCTATAGAAAGTGTTAAAGATAAATTGGATTCTACAAAAGTAAGCATTATTTTACTCTTGTATCAGAATCAGTTTTCTTTTTTATTCTGAATCAGTTAATGTTTCAAATATTTCAAAATGTTTTATTAATATAAATTTAATTGTTCATATCCTGTTATATAATTTTGTATGTTTTCTTTAATATATGTAAATAACTTTCAGACAAGTTGGACTTATTTATTTACTTTAATAAATAAAGATAGAAATTGTAAATTTCAGTTTACAATTTAATAAAAATTAAAGTATATATTTAAAGTATAATAAAGTTTAATAAAAATTTAAAACTTAAAATATTATTTTAAAATGATAATTTGCTAGTATAAATTTTGAATTTTATATGATTAACATTTAATTCTTATTGAAGAATTATTTTTAAGGTTCTCTAGAATTTTCCAAAATTTCAAATAATAATAAATCAAATTCTATACTTTAAAACTTTCAAACTTTAATGTAACTGATATAATGGAAAATTGGTGATACAATTGTTTATTATATCTTTGTTTAGTAATATCATTTGTTTCAATTTCTCTTTTTTTGTGTTTTTTAATCCAAATCAGGAAATGGCTGGAAGACAGTTTAAGTGTATATTTACTGTTTTGAGGGAACCAAATTCAAATCTGAGATCAGATATTTTAAGGTAGTCAGACACATCCCTCACTACTGATTAATTACTCTGTTATGGGCTGGATTAAAAAGATTATTTTTTTATTATCCAAAAAGCAAAAAGAATTAAAAAAAAAAAAAAATTCAAGTCAGGATTTAACCATGATTTTTTTTTTGTATTACTTAGCTTTTTGTTCTACTCACACTAATTAATATTGGAGTGGAAATATAGCACTAAACCTTCTTTGAAGTACTTTCTAAACAATTCTCCAGTAGCGTATTATTTTGATAACGACTAACGTTTTCAATCCTCAGCTGGATCTTCTTCAGGTCGAACATAAATGTTGCATTTTAAAAAATGTTTTTTTTTTTAATCGAATACGTCTCTAGGTTAAATTAGTTGCATGATGTCATTATTATAAAGTGGGATACAAGATATTATAGCCATTTCAAATCATTATTTCTTTAAACTTTTAAAAAAATTTAAATTTTGATGTTATTAAAGGGCCCAGATGTGATTTAAAGTAGTATGTGCCATGCTTAGGATAAACATGTTTCATCTTTAAAGTTAATGGTTCTCCCTTGTTTTTTGGCTTTATAAATTTTCAGTGATTCTAAGGTCCTAATGGCAGCATTCTGTAGATTGGCCTGGATGTTGCTGTCTGAGGCATAAATAGCCAAGATAGTGGTGAGCTTGTGGCTGATATCATAACTATGTTCAGCCAATCTCTTTTGTAAACAGCATGTTGTAAACAGCTATGTACTCCAATTCCCTTTGGCTTCTATGGTCTGTCACTGGAATATGATATACCCCGGTAAATGGAGTTGATAGGCTGCATCTTTGCCATTGTGTATAGTAGAGTATAGTAAGTTGTATATAGTAGAGTTGCATACATGTGTTATTTTGGCATTCTTATACTCTGCTATCTCTTTATATATGTTCTTCATCATATGATTATACTTCAACTACTATATGGCATGTATTGATATCTTGCCCACTATTTTCATTATCCCTTCTGTTGTTATTTTTGTTATATGTTTTGGCCAATTTTTGAATAAGGCTTGTTTTGTAGCCATGTTTGGTTGCAGAAAACTCCAGGTGATGTAGCTCCCTCAATGTGTCTTTATGGTAAGTGCAGTATATGAAAGCCCACTTTACACAAATATGGATCACAGGAGGATACTGGTATAAATACTGGCAGATGGTCTGGATTATAATAAATTTNTGGACACAGTAAATACAAATGTACCTAAATAACTAATTATCATTTGTCAAAAATTAATCTGAATAGCTTTTTAATGCCAACCAGATCCCTTTTAAGTGTTAAATAAGGTTGTAGAAGAAATACCTAATATTGGGGTAAAGAAATTTTCAGAACATCATGAGCAATTCTCCAGTTAACAAAAGGAGAAAATGAAATTACAGTCTCTCTACATATGAAGCAGATCCTATTGATATATTAGTATAGATGTGGCTGTTAATGAGTAATACATCCATTATATTAAAATTGTTATTTATAATTTAATGGAACTGAATAATGTTAGTAAACATTTTTAAAATTTATTTTAATTTTTTGAGACAGTTTTATTCAAGGCTATTTAATTTTAATATAGTCAGAAGGTGAATCTAAAATTGATATAACAGATCAGACATTATATTGATTGATGAAAAATGTGTAGTAATTGATAAAATAATTTTAATATATGCCAGGGATGGACAACCCGCAGCCCGAATTAATATTTTTTGCAGCCCACATCACATAAAATATGAACAAATGTATCAGTTTCCTAGCTTAAGGAAGTATGCAGCAAAAATTCAAACATTATTTTCTACAACTTTATGTATGTGAATAATTTTTCCACAATGAATTTAGTAAAAATTAAAACAAGAAACTGACTAACAGACACATTGAAAACTAATTTAAAACTAGCAGTGACTAATATTTAATCAAATATATCTGATATACAGTAATACCTCGACTTACGCTACCCCGACTTACGCGATTTTCAAATCTCGTCCATTCGTCTTTTGTTTGAGTGCTACGCAACTCTTGATTACTCACTCCCCCTACACTATTATTCAGCTTACATGTTTGGACGTGTCGCACGGAATCGACACATAGCTACAATTTCTTTTGTGTTATTTATTTCTGTGTTTGTTATATCTACGGAGACTCGAGAGACTCTATGTGGTGATTTCTTGTAACCGTGAACAAATCAAAAGACGAGATAAGATTAACGAAAACATTTATTAGCTTACATACATCCGACTTGGATTTTAGACAAATTGCGAAATTATACCCCGACTTACGCGGTTATCTCTTGGTCCCACCTATGGTGTAAGTTCGGGTATTACTGTATTACATTTACATCAGTTCTAGAAGCTAAATTAAGTATAACTATGCTAATTTATAATTATAAATGAATAAATAATTGTGATTTACCGGCATTTTCTTTCTCTTGTATATGGCTCGCATTAGTTCAAAAGTTTTGAAATGCAGCCCTTACATAGAAAAAGATTGCCCATCCCAGATATAGGCAATTTATAAACTAGATTATGATATTCACAATAGTATAGTTAGATATGAAGATTAATTTTTGTAAATAACAGTGATAGATAGATAATATTTATAATTATTCTCTTTGGAAAAAGAGAATAATTTTATACATATTCCATTTATCCAAGAATTTTTCAATTACAATAAAAATTTTTTAAGTTTAAAAAGTGATTTTATCCTTATAGACAAAGAAACTTAAATTTTCCTGTAGTTCAATAATGCTAGTTTTCAAAAAGTAGTAGAAAAACTTCTTTCCTTTTGCTGGAATGTTATCAAAATTATTTATTGTTCTTTAAAAGTATTATAGTGGACTGAAAACTTTGAAAGCATCATCAACTGACATTGTTTGAGATATCTGAGGTTCAAATTTTATTTTTCTCTAAGCTTGTTTTGACATTTTTCTTAGCTGATGGTCAACAATTATGACCTGTCAACAAACCTGGACAACAATTACGACCTGTGACCAATAAAGATCTCTAACATTTTTATTAGAAGAATGGATTCATCACTCATTAAACTGCCACATTAATGCATATACAGTCTTCGATTCATGCACACTTCTCTCCAAACTTTCAAATATTAATTTAAATGGGAACGAACATCTTGCATTGTTCAATTTCATATCCTTGTTCCCTCCATTCATTTAGAATCATGTTTTTGTGCTTTAAGAGATTTCTTTCTCAGCACTACCCTTAATGCTCAGACTTTGCATTCCCCGATATTAGAGCTTGCGCACCTACTGTGCTATTTGTTCTTGTTTTACTTTGATGAACACACATACATACAAAAACAGAGGGTGCCGATGAGTAGCCCCATTTCAGGAGATCTTTGTGAACTTGTCTTACAACAGTTGGAAGAACAGTCTTTAGTAAACTTCAAACACACTATCCTTGGTTATACTTGTTACATGGATGATATTTTGATTATATGGAGAACTAAATTGGATATAGGGAAAGTGTTAAAAGCATTTAATAGTAACAACTACGGATTAACAAAACAGAGGGTAATCAGGTAGTTCTAAGCTATGAACTGTCCCTACATCACATTTACAAGAATGTGAGAGATTCAAAACTATGCATAACTATAAGAGAAAACCAATAGCTACTATTTATAAATATAATGCAGGCTTTAGAATTTTTTGTGAGATTGTAAAATTTGTATTATATCATTGAGCATTTCTGATAAATATCCAATAATGATTTTTGATTTAATCTGTTTAAAACATAAATTAAAAACATTCAGCAACAAGTTGCTTAACTTTCCTGGCAACATTTGATGGCACCATCTTCTATTTTCTTAAAAAAAACTTATACAGTCGACCCCCCTATAACACGGGCTCCTATAGTTCGGATTCCTATATCACAGCAAAAAAATTGTGATAGTATTCGTTCAAACACGCTAAAAAAACTCATATAATTTGGTAAAATGTCATCGCCGACTTATGTTGCGACAGGATTGGTTGAATCTAGACTAATAGCGAATATTGTACAAACCGTTGAGTTTAAATGAGCAGCAGACCTACTAAAAACCATTTATTATTTAACGTCCATAAAAATTATATTTATACTAGCTGCAAGGACCCACTTCGCTGGGTTTTTATTTGTATGTAATATATAAAAGACTGTTTTTCTAAGTAATCTAAAATCTAGCTGCAAGGACCCACTTCGTTGGGCAAAAAGTAACGATAGTGAAGATTAAGATAATTACATTATAGCCAATCTTACCCGTTTTCACAGAATGCAAGAATTAGGTCTCCCGTTTCCAGACTAATTAGAGAATTTTTACATCCAGTCAAACGAACTATTTTCAATTTGATCAATTTTCTGGAACGTCTATAATCAAACCAATTTGAATTTGAATACCAATTTGAATTTAAAACGGTTCGAACATTTTTAAAATCAAAATAGAAAATCTTTGATATCAACCACTTTAAGCCCCCATATCCCCCGCACCCTTATAGCTATTGAGACACAACCACCATAGTACCATTCATGTGCGATGTGTAGTTTTGGCTGAAAAGTGAAATATAGGGACACACATGTCTATTTTTATATATATATATATATATATCTTGCTTTCTATACTTCATTAAAACAATTTTATTATTAAATATAGGCTGAATCTCAAATTTTGGCACTTACAAGCATAGTGAATGAATGGGAAGATGCTGCTCAGTTAAAAGAAAATGTTTCTAAATGGACAGCTGAAAAGCAAATAGAAGTTTCACATCTCCAGTCTGCTCCATTAGCAATGATGCCGGAAGTTGTAAATGATGAAATCAGAAAATTAGAAGTAAGAATTAATCATATCAATATTTTTTGTATTTAATTCTTAAAGAAATTTAAATATATATAGATCTATAAGCTAGATTAAATAAGTCATTAGATCAATAAAACATTTTTATAAGAATTTATAATAAATATAGTAATGTTTATAAAAAAAAATGTATTACCTGTCAGTATTAATTTTTAATATAGTTTTTTAAATAAAATAATCATAAATAATTTCAACTTCAATCAACACTGATATTTGCTGACAACACTGAAAAATAACTGAAGAAATTGAATATATTAAATAGAAATATGTCTAATTTTGAATTAAGATAAAATAAAGTAAACAAATAAAATAAAATAAATAAAGAAAAATGTTTCGGATAATGAATATTATTCCTCTTCTTATTATTATGAATATTTCACTAACAAACTTGGACTTAACTATAAAATGCTAACTTACACAGTATCTAGCTTGCTTTATTCTTGGTCTTTTGTTAAGTTTAATTATTATGTTAAATGTTAAAATTAGATAGATATTTCCTATTAAATCTTTTAAATGTCATGATTTAAAATATTCGTTTCAATTTTAATAATGTAGGAAATGAAGCAAGACCTTGCTGACAAATTATCATCAATAGATACACTGGAAGAAAAAGAGAAGTCTATAAATCCAGAAGCAGATGAATCATTCTTAAAAGAAAAATTGAAGAACTTAGATAATCAGGTAATAAATTAAAAAATAATAAACATTAAATCTTTAAATCATAATGTTGTTTGACTATTTATTATCTCATAAAAGTTATTTGAAGGCAACAAAATTTGTAAAGTAAATAAAGTTCATTTATAACAATTTTTTGAATATTCTATATTAATTAATTGAATAGCAATTTTCTAAATAAAATATCACTCCAAATAAAAAAAATGTTAATTAAAATATTTCCAATAAAATGTTATAAATACTTAAAATTTTAATAATTAATCATTATTTTATAGAAAAGAAATCATAAAAGTTCAAAATGTTGTAAATAAATTATTTTAATTTTTTAAAGTAAAATATAAACTATTTGAATTTTTATTTCAATAACTACTTGTTTCTGAAAGGCATTCATTTTATTTGCAATATTTTTAACTAAAATATTAAGAAAACTTTTTAAAAACACTTAAAATAAGAAATATTTAATGTGTTTTATAACAAGAAAAAGGATTTTCGTAAACAATAAATTTCTATACATTAAATAAAATTTAAAATTTTAGAATAATGAGATAAAAAATATGAAAGAAACAAGTTATTTAATATAATTATAAATTTATTTGCTTATATTATTCTATAATTAGCATGGGTGAAAGTGGATTGTAAAATTATCAAAATTACTTATATAACTGCCAATATGTAATTAATTTAATGGTTGTTTCTAGTTAATGTGACAAATAACCTTTATGGTTGTACTTCTAAATTGATTTCATATAGAAGAGAAGATTGGAAGGTGACCTAGGCAGAGTAATTTGTAATACGTCTGCACAGTAAACAGAAATTGCAGGTTTGAATCCTGCTCGGATCAATCGTTTCTTCCATAATATTGTAAATTATTTATTTAATACAATATGGTAGCTTAATTACCTACCTTTATTCCAAATTTGTATATTTAATTAGCCAAAATGTAGCAATATAAAAAACCTGACTTGATTATTTGATTATTGACCAAGTCTGAACCATATTAATAATAATATGATTCAGACTTGGTTTTTTATATAATCATAATCATTTAAAAAAAAAAGAAAAATAATTATATTTGGAGTTATAAAATTTAGGAAAATATATCTGAATAAGAACAACTATATATTTTACTTAATATAAAGAATAAGAAATATAATAATATATATGCATTAGGATCTTATTTATTATGAATAAGGAATAAAATTGAATTTTGAAAATTAAAATAATAAAATGAATGTTATTTGACAGTTAACTGGTCTCATTTCAAACTGGAACACTCATAAATCAACATTGGAAGAATTGAATGCACTTGCTGAAGAGATTAATTCTGATTTGGACACATCTAGTAATAAATTAGAATTAATTGAGAAATCTGAAATGGAAGAAATCAAACAAAAACAATTAGCATTACAAGTAAGTAAAATTAAATTATGATTTTCGATCTATATTATTAACTTATTCATTACTGATGATACAGCATGCTGTTGAAAATAATTCAATTATAATATTTGGTAATTTCTGTAAATTTATATATAATTTACAGTATATATATGCTGTATATGTTCTTGATAAAAAAAATTTATTTGTTAAAAAATTCTTTAATACTATTAGTTTAACCAATTTTTGAGTTATATTTTATATCTGCAACAATTTATCATTTTAAGATTTTGCTCCATATAGTTTAAATTCAATAAACAATAACTTTTACTGGTACAGTAGAGCATCAATTATCCGACCCCCGATTAACCGTCACATCGGTTAACTGATCATTCTAGTCGGCAAATTTCAAATGTCCGCTAGTGACGTGGCATTACAATATTTGGCTATGTCTTGGCTACTTTAATATTATTTTTGTTAAATTTTTGCATGTTTTAGCTGGCATCAACGGCTCGACCATTGAAGGGAGGCCAGTATTTAAACGAGACTTAATTTTGTAATTATGAGTGGTTGTTTGTTTTGTGAGCAATAAAATAATTTAAAAATAATTTTTAACGATACAATAGCGACGATTATTATTT